CTCTTTCTTGCTCCAGGTCCTCCCCCTCCCCCCTCCAGGTCCTCCTTCAGGTGTGTCTCAGGTAGACCCTCCCTTGACTGAGCCTGTTGAGGTCACTGGTGACTCAGGTCCTACTGGGGGTGGTCCTGCTCGGGGTGCTGAGCCTGAGCGTGCAGAGCATGAGCGTGCGGATCCTGGGGGTGCTGAGCCTGGGGGTGCGGAGCCTGGGGGTGCAGAGCCTGGGAGTGCTAAGCCTGGAGGTGCTAAGCTTGAGCGTGAGGAGACTGGAGGTACTACGTCTGGGGGTGCTGAGCCTGAGCGTGACAAGACTGGAGGTACTACGTCTGGGGGTGCTGAGCCTGAGCGTGAGGAATCTGGGGGTGCTGAGTCTGGGGGTGCGGCGCCTGAGGGTACTGAGACTGCTGGTGCGCGGTCTCCTTGGAGTGGCCGCCTTCGTCCGCGTGTGCCTCTCACCTCACAACAGCTGCACGACTGGTACGGTCGCCGTCAGGGTCGCGCTGCTAGAGTTCGGGGCCCTGCCGCTGGAGGTGCGTCTGCTGACGTCGCTGGAGCAAGGAGTGGTACTGATACTTTGTGTACTGGAGGTGCTGGAGTCGCTGGTCCTGGAGGTGCTCGTACTGGAGGTACTGGAGCTGCTGGGACTGGAGGTGTTGAGTCTAGGGGTGCTGTAGCTGGAGACACTGAGACTGGAGACCCTGGGACTGGAGGTGCCGGTTCTGGGGGTGCTGCTGCTGGTGGAGCTGGTCCTGGAGGTGCTGGCGCTGGAGGTTCTGGAGCTGCTACGGGTGCTGGCGCTGGAGGTTCTGGAGCTGCTGGTGCTGGTGGCACTGCACCGCCGCGACTGTTCTTCGCTCCGCCGTCTTCGTCGTCTCAGCCACCGCCTGATTCTGTGCTTCGCCAGGTTTTTAACCTCCCATCTTCTACTGGTCTTCCGTTACAGCCTGGCTCACCGTTGCCTGCTCCTTCTCCTTACACTGAGCAAACCGGAGGTCTTGCTGAGTGTTATGAGCTTGCGTCGCGTCCTGTCTCACATGTTCGTTCTGGTCCTACCGGTCGTCGTGTTCCTCGTCCGCGTCAGCCGGCTGTCCCCGGTGCGCACCTCGTAGCCCTGGGTCCTTCCTCTGCTCCGCACCGTGTTCCTCTGCCGTCCCCCCCTGCGTCCTCTCTGCCTGACCTTGCGGACCCTGAGTCTGACGTGTTTTGTGCTGCCCACCCTACTGTCACGCGTCTGTTAGCCACTGTTGTCACTGACCTGTCGTTTGAGTCTGCTGCTGCGTCTGTCTTGGTCGCTGAGCTTGTTGCCTTTGCTGCTGCCTGTCGTCTAGACTACGCCGCTAGTCTTGTTGCTGAGTCTGAGTCTGTCTGCCCTCCGTCCGTCGGGGGTGACTGTGCTCTTGGCACGGACGTCCTTGAGGACACACAGGAGGACCTTGAGTGTCTTGCGGCCGCTGCGCCTCATCTCGTGGCCATGCTGCTTGCCCCTGAGGGAGACCTGGATGCACCAGACATCCCTACCCCGCGCTCTTACGCTGAGGCGATTGCGGGTCCCTACTCCTCTCAATGGCAGACAGCCATGGACGCAGAGATGACATCCTGGAAGTCCACAGGCACTTACATCGATGAGGTTCCCCCTCCTGGGGCGAACATCGTCGATGGCATGTGGATTTTCAGGGTGAAGCGGTCGCCGGGTTCTCTGCCTGTCTTCAAGGCTCGTTACGTTGCTCGAGGCTTCAGTCAGCGAGAGGGAGTCGACTTCTTCCAGACCTTCTCCCCCACCCCGAAGATGACCACTCTTCGAGTGCTGCTGCACGTTGCCGCTCAGCGTGACTACGAGCTTCACTCACTGGACTTCAGCACAGCCTTCTTACAGGGCAGCCTGCACGAGGAGATCTGGCTGCGCCGCCCACCTGGCTTCACTGGGTCGTTCCCGCCTGGTACCCAGTGGAGCCTCAGGCGGCCAGTCTACGGTCTCCGCCAGGCGCCTCGTGAGTGGCACGACACACTGAGGACGACACTTGCGGCTCTTGGGTTTGCTCCTTCGACTGCTGACCCGTCGCTGTTTCTACGCACCGACACTTCGCTACCGCCGTTCTACATCCTCGTGTACGTCGACGACTTGGTCTTTGCTACTGCTGACACTGAGGCTCTCGCCCTGGTGAAGTCGGAGCTGCAGAAGAGACACACGTGCATAGACCTGGGTGAGCTGCGTAGCTACCTTGGCTTGCAGATCACCCGGGACAGAGCACGTCGCACCATCACTCTGACTCAGTCACACATGGTGCAGCAGGTCCTTCAGCACTTCGGCTTCACCTGGTCCTTCCCAGAGTCCACTCCTCTGGCTTTAGGTCACTCGCTCTTAGCTCCACCTTCGGACGAGTCCGTAGAGCCAAGTGGTCCTTACCCAGAGCTAGTGGGTTGCCTCATGTACCTGATGACCTGCACTCGACCTGACCTTGCGTACCCTCTTGGCCTTCTGGCTCGCTACGTGGCTCCTGGTAGGCACTGAAAGGTGCACTGGGAAGCTGCGAAGAGGGTACTGCGCTACCTGTGCAGTACATCGGGCATGGGGCTCGTGCTTGGAGGACAGGGTGACGTTGTCCTCACTGGACACTCTGACGCGTCTTGGGTTGACGACCAGGCTACGCAGCGGTCGTCACAGGGTTACACCTTCAGTCTTGGCTCTGGTTCTGTTTCTTGGCGGTCTACACGCTCGTCTTCTGTTCTCAACTCCAGTTGTGAGGCTGAGATCTACGCCACACCCATGGCTGCATAGGAGTTACGCTGGCTCACCTACCTGCTGACTGACTTGGGAGAGCGGCCTCGTTCCCCTCCTCCAGTTTTATACGTTGACAACAATGCGACCATTGCCTTGTGTGAGGAGCACAGACTGGAGCACAGAACGAAGCACATCGCTCTGCATTACTTCCTGGCTCGAGAGTTGCAGCAGCGTGGTCAGCTTCGTCTTGCACACGTGGCCACTCGGGCCAACACTGCTGATATATTCACCAAGGCACTTCCGTCTGGTGACCATCAGCGCTTTTGTACTTTGTTGGGCCTTGTGCCTACGTTTCCACACTTGCTGTAGACTCTGCTTGTACTGTGATCCAAATATATTTACCTGCATGTTTGTTCTTGCTAGGTAGTGATCACTGTACTGTGCTTGTTGCATGTATATTCTCTGCATGTGAACTGGCCTTATGGCCCTTTGCTTGTGCTCAGTGTGTGTGGTGACGTTGTGATCCACCCTGAGCTTGCTTTGCTTCTCTTGACTGGTCTTGTGACCCCTTGTTCTCCCCCACTTTGCCTATGGGGGTGTGTCAAATTATACATGCTATATTTGTGTAGGCTGTAGTGGGGTAGACAAATGGGGTACAACCCCTCTAGGGTTTGATACTTGTACCCAACTCTCTTTCAATGCAACTCATTCCTGCCTGTAGTTTCTAACAGTATCTGGCTCCGCGGCTACGACGAGCGGCAGGAGCAACGGACCCACAGGCGACTGGCGAAGCAGGCTCGCTGGGCTACCGAGAGCACGAGGGCTCCGGACTACTGGCGCTGCTGACGACACGACGGCGACCTCCGCTCAACCTCCCCTAACAGTCCCACACCCCCTTCTCACACACCCCCTTGCTGCACCCCTAGCTCCACTCCCACTATACCCCCCTAGCGCCACTCCCTAGGCTCTCACACACCCACCCCCCTCACCGGCAGCTGCAGCAGTGGGAGACGGAGGAGGAGGAGGAGCAGGGAACGGCTCACACACCCGCCACCCCCATACCCGCCACCCCCATACCCGCCACCCCAAGATCCGAACGCAGACGGGGCGGGGCGGGTAGCAGCTGGGGTGGCGTGCGAGCGGAAAGCAGGGCGGGGCGCGGGTCCTTGGGGCGCTGCGACGGGCAACGAACAGGGCGGCGCGGGGGCCCCCAGGGCTCCACGACGGGCGACGGGAGGGGGCGACACGGGGCCCCCGAGGCGCCACAACGGGCGACGGAAGGGGGGGCGACGTGCGGGCCCCCAGGGCGCCACGACGGGCGACGGGAGGGGACAGCGTGCGGGCCCCCAAGGCGCCGCGACGAGGCGACGGCGAAACCGCCGCGTGCGCCCGAGGCGCGCGGCGGGGTGCATGGCCGGAAGAAAAACGTCGCGCGCCACGGGGTGTGCGACAGACAGTACAGCAGCAGCGGAAGCATAGGGGCCCACAGGCCAGGAGCGCAGAGGCTCTAATACCATGTTGGAATAGTAGGCATAGCCAAGACAGTAGTCTAGGGTTTAGACCTAGGCAAGAGAGAGTTGTCCAAGCAAGAAGGCGTTGCACTATGTGAAGACAGGTACAAATAGATGAGAAGCAAGCTAGGACTGGTGCACCACCACACAGAACACATATGTGACTACACTACAGCTAGACTACATGCACTTATACAAAACATATGCAATATATGTTCTTACAGTAGGAGCCACAGAGAGGATGAAGAGTGCTCAAGGCGCAGATAGAGGCAACAAATAAAAGCTCATGTCATTCATGCCTAATCACGATCAGCTCCTATGCGTGAAGTGAATAACATACCGCACTGTACAATCAATCTTTTTCAGTACCAGTATTACTAGCTCCTACTCACCATGTATCACACACATCACACCCATATGGTATTACATGTCACCCCTGGTTGCGCCTGGAGGTCTTAAGCTTGGACAAGCTCCGCTCTTTCTTCCGCAAGCGTGCTTCATTTGAGGTGCCTACACAAGGCACTACTTGTGCTCCTACTCACCACGTGTATCAAACACATCATGGATGACACATCACATCACTCCTTCTGGTTGCGCCTGGAGGTTGTCCGCTTGGACGAGCTGAGCTCTTTCGTTCAAAGGCAGATGGCAGCAGCCGTCACCTCCACCAGCTCACCCGTCTTCCTGTTGGAAGAGCTCAGCTCAGCTACAACTGATATCCGATTGCTGTTACTCCATGAATCGCATACACAAGGAACATGCATTACAACTATTCACTCCTTCTGGTTGCGCCTAGATGTCTTGCGTTTGGACGAGCTGAGCTCTTTCTTCCGAAGGCGGATGGCAGCAGGTGTCACCTCCACCAGCTCACCCGTTTGGACATACCCCATGGCCTCCTCCAGACTCATCTGTGGTGTGTAGAGGGTACGAAGGGGTACAGAGGATTGTACAGGAATGAACAAGGGCGGATGGCAGCAGGAGTCACGTCCACCATCTCACCCGTTTGCACATACCCCGTGGCTTTCTCCAGGCTCATCTGTGGTGTGTAAAGGGGTTTTCAGGTGTGTGAAGTGGTACAGGGACATGGACATGGATAGAAGAGGTACAGGGGAAGATGTATGAATTGACAAGGGCGGATGGCAGGAGTCACCTCCACCCACTCACCTGTTTGCACATACCCCATGGCTTCTTCCAGACTCATCTGTGGTGTGTAGAGAGAGTGCAAAAATGTGTAAAGAGATTCACAGGGATGGATGGCAGCAGGAGTCACCTCAACCAGCTCACCCATTTGCGCATACCCCATGGCTTCTTTCAGACTCATCCGTGGTGTGTAGAGGGGTAGAGAGGGATACTTGGGTGTGTGAAGTGAAACAGGAATGCAAAGGGGTGAAAGGCAGGGGGAGTCACCCCCCATGGCTTCTTTGCAGACTCATCTGTGGTTTTCAGTGGGGTACAGCGGCGTGAAGAGGACTTCAGAGCGGTACGGAGGGATAACCGAAGTAACACTGGTATGAGATTGAGTGCTGACCTGTCTTGGAGGCGTGAGTCGAATGTTCTCATCCTTGGACGCTGCTCTTATATTGGTGAGCTCCTTAGTGCGTACAGGGTTCACCTGGGGAAGCGGGAGGAGAATCAGGGCCACAGAGATACCGTGAGTGAGACAACACGGGAAAAAAAAGGAAGGAAATCTTGTCATCCTTGGATGAGGCTCCTTGGATCTTGTCATCCTTGGATGAGGCTCCTTGGATCTTGTCATCCTTGGACGAGGCTCCTTGGATCTTGTCATCCTTGGATGAGGCTCCTTGGATCTTGTCATCCTTGGATGAGGCTCCTTGGATCTTGTCATCCTTGGATGAGGCTCCTTGGATCTTGTCATCCTTGGATGAGGCTCCTTGGATCTTGTCATCCTTGGATGAGGCTCCTTGGATCTTGTCATCCTTGGATGAGGCTCCTTGGATCTTGTCATCCTTGGATGAGGCTCCTTGGATCTTGTCATCCTTGGATGAGGCTCCTTGGATCTTGTCATCCTTGGATGAGGCTCCTTGGATCTTGTCATCCTTGGATGAGGCTCCTTGGATCTTGTCATCCTTGGATGAGGCTCCTTGGATCTTGTCATCCTTGGATGAGGCTCCTTGGATCTTGTCATCCTTGGATGAGGCTCCTTGGAGCGTACAGGGTTCACCTGGGAAGGGGAGAACCAACAGAGGGATGGCAGCATATAATATCTGAGCATCCCTTACTGCATGTCATGTCACAAGATTACACAGGATGTTGAGGTGCCTCACAACCCTGAACCCCGTTTTACAGCACTTGACAGCACTGATCATCAACCTCTCAATCACCCGCTTCTCCCCCTCACCTCACCTCCATATCATCATCCCTAGCGTTTTCTCCAATGATATGGCCGTCATACGTCTGTAGGAGGGGGCGGGGGGGGGGGGCGGATGAGGAGGGAGAGAAGAAAAGGGAGGGGTATCATTCACCGTTCAGCCCCTTTCTCCCCCTCACCTCCACACCGTTATCCCTGCGTTCTCTCCAATGATATGGCCGTCGTATGTCTGAAGGAGGGGGCGGGGGGGGCGGATGAGGAGGGAGAGAAGAAAAGGGAGGGGTATCATTCACCGTTCAGCCCCTTTCTCCCCCTCACCTCCACACCGTTATCCCTGCGTTCTCTCCAATGATATGGCCGTCGTATGTCTGAAGGAGGGGGCGGGGGGGGCGGATGAGGAGGGAGAGAAGAAAAGGGAGGGGTATCATTCACCGTTCAGCCCCTTTCTCCCCCTCACCTCCACACCGTTATCCCTGCGTTCTCTCCAATGATATGGCCGTCGTATGTCTGAAGGAGGGGGCGGGGGGGGCGGATGAGGAGGGAGAGAAGAAAAGGGAGGGGTATCATTCACCGTTCAGCCCCTTTCTCCCCCTCACCTCCATACCGTCATCCCTGGCGTTCTCTCCAATGATCTGGCCATCATACGTCTGAAGGAAGGAGGGGTGGAAAGGGAAGGGAGGGGGAAAGATACGACATCAGCCTCCTCCTCCCTTCATCATATGTTATGTCATCGTCCCTGGTGTTCTCTCCTATAATATGGCCATCATATGTCTGATCTGAAGGATGGGCCACGGAGGGAGAAAAAGAGAGCAGGAGGGGACGGGAGGAAGGGGAGGGACAAAAAGGCCGAAAGGGGGAGGAGAGAAGAGGCAGATGGTAGGCTATGACACAAACCATTCTCTCGTGGAACCTACCATCTGCTCCCCTCCTCACCCCCCTTCTCAAAAGTTGTGTCCGACTTGTCCCGAAAGCTCTCTGCCCCCCCCTCTACCCCGCACCTTGATGCACACAGGGCCCACCGGGTTCAAAACGAGCGAGATCTAAAAAAGTGCGTTCGATCTACCACACTCTGCAACACCCTACCACACTACACCGCACTGCACCCCACCCTACCTCGTCTCCAGGTCTGACAAAGAGTGTGCCTCGAGCTTCAAGAGAAGAGAGAGCATGGGCTGTGATGGTGCCTGCAATTATTTGGGCCAATATGGGAGTTTGAGAAAGAAGTAATACGTCAGAAAAAAAATATACAATGAGAGTGACGGTAGAGGCTGTGTCATTGAGAGAAGCTGCTGTAACTGTGAGTATGTGTTTACCAGTGCTATCGACCAAGCATGGCACTGTTCACTTCACCCGTGTGGTGTGACTGTGACTGTACCTGTGGCCATCGATACAATCACACCCTTGCGCCCTCGCTCCAGTTGACCCCTCCACGGCTCATATCCTGTCCAGAGAAAGTGGGGGTCGGGAGATGGTGGGGAAGGAAGGCCGGAGAAGGAAGACAAGGTGATGTTTGGTGATGTTTGGCTGGCTCCTGCTGGCCCCTCCATGGCTCATAGCCTTTGAATGGAACGAGGTGGGTGGGGAGGAAGGTGTAGGAGGGAAGGAAGGCCGGAGAAGGAAGGCAAGGTGATGCTTGGATGCAGCTGGCTTGCTCCTGCTGGCCCCTCCATGGCTCATAGCCTGTCCGGGCAAGAAGGTGGGAGGAGAGAAGAAAGGTGTTGTATATGGTGGTGGTATGGTAAGTGTGTCAAAGAGAGAAGATAATATGGTTGCGATGGGCAGTGGTGGGAGGTGCAATGGATTGAAGAACCACATTGTTTTCTCTCACTGGCAGAGAGAACTCACGCAGGAAGAGGACCGGCGAAGCACTGCTGTGCCTCTGGTGACCATGTTGAGGTGTCGTGGGTGGTGGACAGGTGTGGTGTGGGTTGGAAGGTACAAGGGCAACTTCCACTCCTGGCAGAGCACTCACGCAGGAAGGACCGGTGCAGCACGGCCGTGCCTCTCGTGGCAGTGTTGAGGCGTCAGTTGTGGTGGAGAGGTGTGGCTAGGGGTGGCTGTGGCTGTGTTGGTACTGCGAGAGGATGGTTGTGGAACTCACGCAGGAAGGACCGATGCAGCACGGCCGTGCCTCTGGTGGCCGTGTTGAGCACTCCTCGTACTCCCAGCAGGCCTCTGCACACATGCACGCACGGGGGGATGCAGTGAAGGTTGAATAAGTGTTTTGAGACGTCTCAAAACAGGCCCCTGCACACATGCACGCACGGGGGGATGCAGTGAAGGTTGAAGGGTGGGATGGAGGGTGAATCTCTGGGCTTGTGGGCTAAGGACTGGGGTTGTAATGCCCCTGGTGGCCGTGCTGAGCACTCCTCCTTGCACTCCTAGAAGGCCCTTGCTTGCACACATGCATGCACGGGTGGAAGGAGTTTACAGCAAGGAGTTAGGGCAGAAGGGTTTAGGGTTGGAGAGTTTATGGTGGAAGAGTTAACTGTTTAGGGCTAATTTCGTCTCAGCAGGAACAATGAATGACAAGTAGAATGAATAAAGTGGCAAAAGCAAATGCCTCACCTGGAAGGGCAGGTGAAGAGAAGACGTGTACGTGAGAGAGACGAGGATGCTGAGCTGGCAGAGGAGGGTGATGACGTGGATGGTGAGGGTGATGACGTGGCAGTCGTTGCTGAGTCAGCAACAGATGAGCTGGAATCGGACGAGGAGGAAGAGGCCGATTCTGTGATCATGTCCAGGAGCTCTCCTTTTCTGAGAGAGATGGCATCGATGACTGCTCCTGCGTACTCCTCATCCACCTGTGTGGGGGTGAAGGGGCACACACACATACAGAGAACTTCTGGCCAGACCAGATCCTTCACCACACACACACACACAGAGACAGGATCTGGCCTTCTAAACTTCTTCTTGCCACACTCCTTTATTCCCACCGCACGACACAGCACAACACCACACAGCACCGCACCGCACCACACCACGCCACACACCACACCGTTCATCCATATGATTTATCACTATCCACCACTGTGCTTCACCGCACCGCACCTCATCATCACCCCATCATCACCACACCATCACCCCTCATCACCCCTCATCACCACTCACCTCCACCATGAGCTCTTCAATTGGCTCCAGCTTCTTCCCACCCTCCTCCCGGTACCTGAAGGAAGAGGGATGGCGAGCGTGAGGAGCAGGGGATGGGAGATACTTTGCAAGTGTGCCTGAGAGGGGAGGGACCTCTTATAAAAAAAACGAGCAGCAAGGGATGCGAGAGAAAAGGCGGTGACATGAAGGAAAGCGAGAGGGCTCAAAGAGATGATTTATGATCTGAGGTGGCTCATAGGAAGGCTAAATAGGAGCAAAGCGACTGTCTCTTCAAGCGGAGAACGAAGAAGAGGAATAAAAGAAGGAAAACGAAAAACAGAAACGAAAGAGAACAAACGAATCAAACAAACGCAGGTAGCTGGGCACATCTCAAAAGCCAACACGGACTTACTCAAACCAATAAGCAAAAAAACTATATAACCCACTCACAGCACGGATGGTGGCGATATGGAGAGCTCAAACCCCTCTCTCCGCATACTCTCTATAAGCACACCTGATTTCGTGTACAAGACACAAGCAGAGCGCAACGGAGAAGGAGAAAGGAGGGAGTAAGGAGGCTAATAAATGAGCGACAAACAGCGGCGAAATGCTGGACAAAACAGCCGGCCTCAACCGTCACTCACCCAGCTGCATCTCGCCTCTCGCCAGCACCTTGAATGCATCCGCAGAGGGACCCGCCTCCAGTCCCAGGGACACGTTGGTTGCCACCTCTGCTTTGAGCCGTGCACCAATCTTCGGGCCGGTCATCTGTGGATGCGAGAGCAAAGGAATAGGGAGACAGGGGGTGCGGTGCGGGCATGTGGCGGAAGCACTAAGGAGTCCGCAGATGGACCTGCCTCCCTCCAGGCCCAGGGACACGTTGGTCGCCACCTATGGCTTGAGCCGTGCGCCAATCTTCGGGCCGGTCATCTGTGAGGGGAAGACGAGAGGTATGGACGCACAGCACTTTGAGCCGCCACCTCTGTCCTGAGCCGTGCTCCCAAAATCTCACCCTATACCTCACCTGAGACCTCACCTGAGACCTCACCTGAGACCTCGCCTGAGACCTCACCTGAGACCACACCTGAGACCTCACCTGAGAACTCATCTGGGTGCCATGTCGCGCCACTATAGACGAGTCATCAACAATGAAGCTCATGGCGATGGTGGAAAAATCAGAGACTCACCTGGGAATACACCTGAAGATCAGAGAGCTCACCTGGGTGCCGTGTCTCCCTGCTAGAGGAGAGTCATTGACGCTGAAGGTCATGGCGATGGTGGGAGGGTCGATAGCTGCCACTGGGAGGGGTTTAAAAACCTGGAGGGGAAGAGGAGAGAAAAAACGATGGGGAGAGGGGGAACGGAGTGGCATGGAACAAAGGGGTGAATGGTAAGGGGTGAAACGGAGTGCCACAGTGCCACACCACCACACGCACAGCACTGGCAGGGGTGAATCGTAAAAAGATGCTCTTGACAGTGAAGGTCATGGCGATGGTGGGAGGGTCGATGGCTGCCACTGGGAGGGTCGATGGCTGCCACTGGGAGGGTCGATGGCTGCCACTGGGAGGGTCGGGTTTTGAGGCGCCTCACAACTAGACTTCTCACACGCGGATTGTATGTAGATAGGGTTTTTGTTGCTTGGAAATTGGAGTGTAGCTTATCAAGGCTACTGGTGCGCGCGCGACTCTCGAGTTGGCGAAGTGGCGAAGATTCAGGCCCTGTTACTCACGAAGAAACTGTCGAGGGATGAAGACGTGGCTCCTTGGAATTTCCAGGGCAGCCTGGATTGGTCCCCATCTTTTTGGGTTGACCAGGGTGAAGATAGCCTAGGGATTTGCATATTTCGTTGGTTGGCTTTTCTTGCTTTGCTTTAGAAGGCTAGGCCTTGCTCACATTCTTTCATTTGGCATTTGAGTCGACTCAAAAGTCACCTCGTTAGCCTTTCTTGCTGCGCTTTAGAAGGCTAGGCCTTGCTCACATTCTTTCATTTGGCATTTGAGTCGACTCAAAAGTCACCTCGTTAGCCTTTCTTGCTGCGCTTTAGAAGGCTAGGCCTTGCTCACATTCTTTCATTTGGCATTTGAGTCGACTCAAAAGTCACCTCGTTAGCCTTTCTTGATTTGCTTTAGAAGGCTAGGCCTTGCTCACATTCTTTCATTTGGCATTTGAGTCGACTCAAATGTCACCTCGTTAGCCTTTCTTGCTTTGCTTTAGAAGGCTAGGCCTTGCTCACATTCTTTCATTTGGCATTTGAGTCGACTCAAAAGTCACCTCGTTAGCCTTTCTTGCTTTGCTTTAGAAGGCTAGGCCTTGCTCACATTCTTTCATTTGGCATTTGAGTCGACTCAAAAGTCACCTCGTTAGCCTTTCTTGCTGCGCTTTAGAAGGCTAGGCCTTGCTCACATTCTTTCATGTGGCACTGATGAAGGCGTGCTAGGGGCTTCCCTACAGCCGAAACATGTTTGTCCGTGTTTTAACCACTGCTTAGTGAAGAGCTTCGAATTTACAGAACCCTACGTGAATCAGCTAGGATTTTTCTAGTACTGTTTTCTCCTTTGCTGAACCTTCTCCTTTAACTGCTGCTCGCTGGAATGTCTTTTAATCAGCTAGCGATTACACTTACTCCAGATGACGCCGGTACAGGAGAAGGGAGTTTTGCAATCGTTTTTCGTGAGGCAGCGGCGCCGACGAGAACTTACTCAGGCTACCATCGGAATTTGAAGCGGCCTCGTAATCTTGACGGTGCTGGAATTTCTCCTCCAACTCACGCTAATTCGAAGAAGGACAAGCAACTCCTCCCGCCAAACTGCTCCTAACGCTGGTCCAGCTGATACTTCGGCACTGGCTGGTTGTAGCAACTCTGCGGCTGTTCCTGATCAGTCCATCGTGATTCCTGAGCCTTTTAAAGGCTGGACTGCAGAAGCCGTCAAGGGATTTCGGGCAGATTTCAAGACTTACCTGAAGTCGAAGTCCAAGCTTAAGAAGATGAAGGCGCTCGACACACAGGGCGTGATTCTTCACAGCCTCCGCACTAAAGTCGTCGAGTTCCAGACCAAGCGAATCACTGCTATTATCACTGCCTATCGCTGCTATTCATCTCGCGAACCAGAAGCGAATCCACGCGGACTTCATTAAGACCAAGGAATTGGAGGTTGAAGAGGCGCTGGCAGTTTCCGATTCACACCTCATGGCTCTGGCGGCCAGGCTTGAGGATCACATCAAACGCCTCTTGAGGATCACATCAAACGCCTCTTGAGGATCACATCAAACGCCTCTTGAGGATCACATCAAACGCCTCTTGAGGATCACATCAAACGCCTCTTGAGGATCACATCAAACGCCTCTTGAGGATCACATCAAACGCCTCTTGAGGATCACATCAAACGCCTCTTGAGGATCACATCAAACGCCTCTTGAGGATCACATCAAACGCCTCTTGAGGATCACATCAAACGCCTCTTGAGGATCACATCAAACGCCTCTTGAGGATCACATCAAACGCCTCTTGAGGATCACATCAAACACCTCTTGAGGATCACATCAAAGGCCTCTTGAGGATCACATCAAACGCCTCTCTCCCCCTTGACCTCTCTCCCCCTTGACCTCACTCCCCCTTGACCTCACTCACCCTTGACCTCACTCCAACCTCTACTCACATACATACCGAGAGATCAGCGAGCGTGTGTGAGACGTGGGCGTGTGTTAGCCCTGCCACAGCCACAATGTCTCCTGCTGCAGCCTCACTCATATCCTCCGACTTCACTCCCATCCGCTTCACCAACTTCACCACCTGCAGAGAGCCCAGAGAGGCAGAGTGGAAAAGTGCGGCAACGTGGGATTTTCTCACAGTCAAGCACCCCCTGCTGCTGCAGCCTCACTCATATCCTCCGATTTCACTCCCCTCCGCTTCACCAGCTTCACCACCTGATGACGGCATAGCAGGGTTGAGGGAAAAAAAAAGGAAGTCGTGATTCCATACTTGGGGAACAGCATGGGGCGTTCTGAGTGGTACTGAAGGGTATTTTTGAGAATTCTCAAAAATACCCTGATGCTGAAGGGTATTTTTGAGAATTCTCAAAAATACCCTTTAGCATGATGACGGCATAGCAGGGTTGAGGGAAAAAATAAAAGGAAGATGTGATTCCATACTTGGGGAACAGCATGGGGCGTTCTGAGTGGTACTGGACGTGCACTGAACCTGCCATATGTGACTATCCCACTGCTTCAAGCCGCTCCAATGCTCCACTCACCTTGCTCTCGTCCAATGAAACCGCCTCCCCTTCACTGTCCCGCATCAGCGCCCGCACCCTGTTGCCCTCGCGCACTGAACCAGACGCTATCCAAGGGATGTTCATGTTGTAACTCCATATTTTATACAACATGCATAGGCTAGACTTAGATGTGTAGCAGTCTTATAAATTGGGGGGTTGGTTAGTGTACCCTCCAACCACATTTTGTGGTTGGTGGGGATTGGTCCTTACCTCAACCAATCCCAACCAACACACATTTTGTGGTTGCTTGGGCCACAAGCAAACTCACCCATTGGCCAACTTATTGGCCAATAGGGTAAGCTTCCCTCTCATCTCTCTCTTGCTCATTGCTTGTACTAAAGAGCCTTTTGGCTCATTATTCAGTGCAACAATTCTTCTTTCTCACATGGTATTCAGAGCTTATGGCTCACGCCCTACCAAGATCCTTAGGACCGTCCTAACATGTACCTCTCTTCCTACCCGGCCAATAATGGCCTCCCTCGCTATGTTTCCTTAAGCTACCTCCCACTTCACGTCCTAGGCGCTATCCTCCCTCCCGCGGACCAGATCCGCCCTCCTGCGGACCAGATCCGCCTTCCCGTGGACCAGATCCGCCCTCCTGCGGACCAGATCCGCCCTCCTGCGGACCAGATCCGCCCTCCCGCGGACCAGATCCGCCCTCCCGCGGACCAGATCCGCCCTCCTGCGGACCAGATCCGCCCTCCTGCGGACCAGATCCGCCCTCCTGCGGACCAGATCCGCCCTCCTGCGGACCAGATCCGCCCTCCTGCGGACCAGATCCGCCCTCCTGCGGACCAGATCCGCCCTCCCGCGGACCAGATCCGCCCTCCCGCGGACCAGATCCGCCCTCCTGCGGACCAGATCCGCCCTCCTGCGGACCAGATCCGCCCTCCTGCGGACCAGATCCGCCCTCCCGCGGACCAGATCCGCCCTCCTGCGGACCAGATCCGCCCTCCTGCGGACCAGATCCGCCCTCCCGCGGACCGTATTTGCCCTCTCCGCGACCTACCTTTGCGACGGCCGCGATTTCCTCGTCAACGGCAGCAATTTCCTCGTCAACGGCTGCGATCTGCTCGACGGCCGCGATCTACTCGTCGACGGCCCAGATCTACTCGTCGACGGCTCAGATCTGCTCGCCGACGGCCGCGACCTGCTCAGCGGCCGCGGTTTGCTCGCTGACGGCCGCGATCCACTCGTCGACGTCCTTGATCTGCTCGCCGACGGCGTCGATCTGCTCGTTGACGGCCGCGATCTGCTCGACGGCCGTGATTTGCTGGCCGACGGTCGCGATCTGCTCGCCGACGGTCACGATCTGCTCGTCGACGGCCGCAATCTGCTCGCCGACGGACGCGATCTGCTCGTCGACGGTCGTGATCTGCTCACCGCACGGGCTCCCCTGTCGCGTGCATCCGCGGCGGCTCTGCCTGTCGCGCGCGTCCGCAGCAGGCCTCTTCGTCCAGCGCCTCCGCATCGCACCTCCTCGCCCAACGCGTTCGCCGCAAGCCTGTTCGTCGTCGTCGTCCTCCCGCCCTCCACCCATCCCGCGCCCCCCCGCCCCCCTCCCTCCCCCTCTCCTCCCCTCTCCTCCCCCTCTCCTCCCCCCCCTCTCCCCCGTTCGTCCTCCTCCTATTCTACCCAGCAGCAGCACCAGCAGCGGCAGCAGCAGCGGGACCAGCAGCGGCAGCAGCAGCGGGACCAGCAGCGGCAGCAGCAGCAGCACCAGCAGCGGCAGCAGCAGCGGGACCAGCAGCGGCAGCAGCAGCGGGACCAGCAGCGGCAGCAGCAGCAGCACCAGCAGCGGCAGCAGCAGCGGGACCAGCAGCGGCAGCAGCAGCGGGACCAGCAGCGGCAGCAGCAGCGGGACCAGCAGCGGCAGCAGCAGCGGGACCAGCAGCGGCAGCAGCAGCGGGACCAGCAGCGGCAGCAGCAGCGGGACCAGCAGCGGCAGCAGCAGCGGGACCAGCAGCGGCAGCGGGACCAGCAACAGCAGCGGGACCAGCACATTACCCGCCTCCTCCTCCTCCCTCTCCTCGACCTCGTCCCTATGGCATCATCATCCGACTCCTCTGTCGATCTCGCCACAGTTGACGCACTTGAGCTACTTGCTGACAACTCTGCTGCTAATTGGCACTCTTACGCTCACTCGGTCGAGGTGCTTCTCTCCTCTGTCGTTGTCAGCGGCTACAACCTTTGATCAATTGTGTTCCAGGAAGACACCGGTCTTCAGCCCGTCGCCCCCGTCGCTCCTACTGGGCCTGCCCCCGCCACTCCTGGGGCCGAGCCTATCCCCCCGGGTGACCCTCCCACCTTCGCGCCGAATATAAACGACCCACAGAGCTCGGAAACCGCCATTCGCACATACCGCACCGCTCTCCAAGAGCACCTACGCCAGCAACTGCGTTACGAAGAGGACAAGCGCACATATGATGCTGCTGCTGCCCTCCACAACAAGTACCAGGAGGACCTCAACACCTACGCTGCACAACTTGCCGACTACATCACCAAAATCACTGCCTGGCGAGTTGCTGACCGACGCGCGCTTGCTATTCTTCTCGCCACCATTCCCTCCTCCCTCAAACGCGAGCTCTCACCCACCTCCTCCTCCCACCTGTGGCGACTACTCGTCGACCTTTTCGACCGTCAAGACGTCGCCACCCTCTACGCTCTTATCAAAGAATTCGGAACTCTCTCTATGGATTCAACCTCCGGCGCAGCTGCCTTCACTCGCCGCGTCCTAGATCTCGCTCGACGCCTTGCAGCACTTGATGTGGTGTACCCAGATACTGTCATTTGCTGCCACCTTCTTGAGGGCCTGACACCTGCCTTCGACGCTCACAAGCTTGCGTACATGCAGCTTATCTCCAAGCACCACACCCCTGCTGAAGTCGCTCAGTGGATTATCACCACCGAAGCTGAGATCCTTCGCCACTCTTCCTCCACAGCCGCAGCAGCCCAGTCGCGCAGCAGCCGGGCTGGCCGTGGCGGTGGGCGTGGGGGTGGGCGTGGTGGTGGGCGTGGGGGTGGACGAGGGGGATCAGCAGGTCGCGGTGGTGCTGGTAGCAGTGGTACAGGTCGTGGTGCGGCAGCTGCCTTTCCTCCCTGTCAGTACCTGCCTCGCTACGGTCCCACTCAGGGACAGCGCTGCGGCCAAACCACCCATGCCACTGAGACGTGCTTCAAGGCACTCAGTGATGAGTGGTTTGCCCGTGGCAACACCGGCACCCCTCCTCGCTGGTCCGCCCTCAACCCTCGCCCCACTCCCCTTGAGGTCCGTTCCTCTCCCCTCTATGAACCTTCCTCCTCCACCCACGCCCACCAGGCCCTCGCCCCTCCCCAGCAGCAGCACCAGCAGCAGCACCAGCAGCAGCAGCAGCAGCAGCTTGGGAATCAGCAGCAGGGGTCACAGCAGTATGGGCAGCAGCTTCTCCTATCTCAGCTCCAGCAGCAGCTAGACCTCCAGCCGCAACTGCCCCTCCTCCCTCCTCCTCCAATATCCCAGCAGCAGCCCTTTCCTACCTGGACTGCTGGGAGTGCTGCCTCTGCAGCCCATCTCTCGGGTGCATCCCCGGCGCCGTCTGCAGGTGGCAGTGAGACCACTTTCCCTTCCTTTGGTTTTGTTGGTTTATTAGGTCAACCTGAATCTGTTGCATCTCCCATGTACCCTTCTTCTGCTAATGAAACGTCGTTCCAGTACTCTGCCTCACCTTCCTCCACCATTGACTTCGTTCTGGACAGTGGAGCCACTGACACTGTCCTTCGTGACGCTGGTACACTGCGCCCTCTCCCCACACCAACCTCCCTCCTCGGCGCTGATAGCAGTTTTTCCATCCCTTGTCACAACACCTCCACCCTTCCCTGTCCTCTCTTTCCCTCAGGTACTGTCACCGGACTCCACATTCCCTCCCTTGGTACTAACCTCCTCTCCCAAAGGTCCCTCCAACAAGCCATGATCACCACTCTCATCCCAGGTGGTGCTAACCATTGTGACCTATACCAAACCTCCACAGGTCGTTTTCTCGCCCGTATTCCCTATTGTCCCCGCTCCCGTCTATACACCCTTCGGGTTCCCCGCCCCCTCACCTTCCAAGTTGCCTCCCCCCCCCTCCTCCCCCCCCCCCCTCCCCCCCTCCCACTAACCCACCCCTCCCCCCCCGCCCTCCTGACTCTGACTGTTCCTGTCGCTCCCTCTCCCACCCCACCATCCTCCTCCATCACAGGCTAGGTCACCCCAACTTCGCCACTCTGCGCTCATCTGTCTCCTCCGGTCTCCTCCACAGTCTCCCCTCGTCCCTCCCTCCCCTCCCCAAATCCCCTGCACCCCCCTGCACCGTCTGAGTTCAGAGCAAGCTCAAGCAGCAGCCGCACCGGAGCTCCCCCTCCGCTGCTGCTCAGCCACTTGATCTTGTTCACATGGACCTATGGGGCCCTAATCCCTCTCCCACTCGCCAGGGCCATCGCTACCTTCTCGTGCTTGTTGATGATCACAGTCGGTACTCGTCCGTCTCTCTTCTTCGGACAAAGGCGGATGCCCCGGCTGCGATCATCGCCTGGCTCGAGCGGGCAAACACCCATTTTGGGCGCCCTGTTCGCCGCCTTCACTCTGATGGAGGTGGTGAGTTCCTTAACAACCAAGTCTCCTCCTATTGTCAGTCTCGTGGCATCCTTCAGACTTACACCCTCCCTCACTCCCCACAGCAGAACGGTGTGGCTGAGAGTCGTGTTCGAGAGATCACCAAAACAGCCCGGTGTCTGCTTGTCCACGCCTCCTGCCCACCTTCTCTTTGGGGCCACGCCCTCCTTCATGCCGCCCTTCTTACTAACCTTTACCCTCACCCCCTTCTCCCCTCCATCACCCCCACTGAGCCTTGGACAAAAGACAAGCCTGATGCCTCATCACTTCGTGTCTGGGGCTCTAAGGCACATGTCCTTATTCACCCCTCTGACCGCTCCCGTTCCATGGGAAAGCTTGCCCCTCGTACCCTTCCTTGCGTCTTCCTTGGTCATAACCCCTCCTCCCCCGACTACCTTTTCCTCCACCCCCCATCCGGTCGTCTAATCCGCAGCAGGGATGTGGTCTTTGACGAGTCCACTCCCTACTACTCCTCCCCTCCATCTACTGATCCACTCCCCCCTCTCACCCGTCCCCTTGTCTGGTCTGACACCACCCCTCCCCCACTACTCCCTCCTCCCCCCATCCTCCCACCCCCCCCCCCCCTCTGCCGTCCCAGTCCCACGGTACCCCTCCCTCATCTGGTGACATCTTTGACCCGGACCCTTTGTCTTCTCCTGTCTCCCCCGCTCACTCCTCTCCTAGTGCCCCCCCTCCCCCCCCTTCCTCTCCCTCGCCACCTACCCGTCCTTCTCCTCCCCGCACTATACTCACCCGGTATCCCCACACCAGGTCACGTGACAGCATCCTTGGTGCACCACCTCCCGTTACCCTCTCTACCTCGACCCTCCCCCCTCTCTCCCCCCTCCTTCGTCACTTCTTCCAGGCTGTTTTGCATCAAGCCCCTCATGCAACAGCCCCCTCAGCCACCTCTCCAGCAACGGCACCAGCAGCGGCTCCAGCAGCGGCACAAGCAACGGCCCCAGCAGCGGCCCCAGCAGCGGCACCAGCAGCGGGACCAGCAGCGGCAGCAGCAGCGGGAGCAGCAGCAGCAGCAGCGGCAGCAGCAGCGGCAGCAGCAGCAACAGCAGTGGGAGCAGCAGCGGCACCAGCAGCGGCACCAGCAGCGGCACCAGCAGTCATCCGTGCCTTCCACACCTCCCTGTCTGAGGACTCCCATGAGGAGTTCCTTGACCTCCACCTTTATAACCCCTCGCTTCTACCCATCACGTTCGACCTTTCCGGCACACCTGTCTTCGCCTTCTCCTCTGCTCCCTCCATTTTCGTTCCTACCACGTACGAGGAGGCGATGGCGTGCCCTGACGCTCCACTATGGCTCGCCGCCATCATCAAGGAGCTGGAGGCCTTTATCGGCAACTCCTCTTTTGTTGATGTGCCTCGCCCTCCCGCCCCTACGAACGTGGTGAAAGGAAAGTGGGTGTTTCGCGTCAAGCAGCTACCAGGGGAGCCGCCCGTCTATAAGGCTCGTTACTGCGCCAAGGGGTTCACGCAGCGGTATGGTTTTGACTTCTTCGATACCTTCTCCCCCACTGCCAAGCCTGCTACTGTTCGCGCCGTGCTCGACCTCGCCGCCTAAGTGGAGAAAGACGCGTCCTGCGTCTAGGACGCTTGCGTCCAGACGCAACGTCCTAGACGCAGGACGCTAGAGAAGGGCCTTTAGGACGCATGAAAAGACGCATGCCCGGGCAGGGCAAAAAAACCCCCAGGCTGCCGAAAAATGATGTTATAGGGTATGGGAAGGGGGGGGGGAAACGACGATGCACACATTTGAGGCAAAATCGCCCCCTTTACATTTCCAGGGTTTAGGGTTTACGAAGGAGAATTGTCTTGGTAAACTCTCTAGGGTTTTTTTATGGTCGAAATGGGTTAGGGGGGGTCGACATGACGCGAAATTGACAGTCGCGTCGAAATCGTTGAAGTCAATTTCGCGCTGAGGCAAATTTTTTTTTCCGGTCAGCCCGAAAAAAAACGGGGTGCGTCCTGCGTCTCTGCGTCTGGACGCTGCGTCCAGTCGCAGGACGCAGCAGGACGCGTGCGTTTTTCTCCACGTAGCTCGCCGCTCGCCTCAATATGGAGATCCACTCGATGGACGTTTCTAACGCCTTCCTGCAAGGCGTCCTCCGCGAGCTTATCTACATGGAGCGTCCAGCCGGTTTTCACCTCCCCTTCCCAGCAGACTCTGTCTGGCAGCTGCGTCGACCTGTGTATGGGCTCCGACAGGCCCCGAGGGAGTGGCATGCTAAACTTGCCGCCACCCTTGCTGAACTTGGGTTCCGCACCTCCCGCTCTGACGCCAGCCTCTTCCTCCGCACCTCCCCCTCCCCTTTTTACATCCTTGTGTATGTCGATGACATGATTCTGCTCACTGCCGACCTTGGAGAGTTGGAGCGTGTTAAGGCTGAGTTGGGTAGCCGTCTCAAGTGCAAAGACTTGGGAGAGCTACAGCATTACCTGGGCATGACCATCACCCGCGACCGCTCCGCCCGCACCATCTCACTCTCCCAGGGTCATTACTTGCAGCAGGTCTTGGAGCGGTTTGACATGGCCCGCGACGGCGCCCAACCTACACCTCTTTCTGTCGGGCACCACCTCTCTCCACCCACCTCCCCCTCAGCCTCCTCCCATCCTTATCCCGAGCTCATTGGCTCCCTCATGTACGCCATGGTCTCCACTCGCCCTGACCTTGCCTACCCCATCAGCGTCCTCGCTCGGTTTGTTGGCGCTGGCAAGCATTGGCAGGCTGCCAAGCGCGTCCTCCGGTACCTTCGTGGCACCAAGGACTATGTCCTTACCCTTGGCGGCCCTTCCCCACCTCTCCTCAGCGGCTACAGTGACTCCTCCTGGGCTGACTCCCGACCAGATCGTCGCTCCTCCCAGGGCTATGGCTTCTCTCTTGGCAGCGGCCTCATCAGCAGGCGTTCCGCGCGCTCCTCGGCTATCGCCCTCTCGTCCTGCGAAGCCGAGTTGTATGCCGCCACCATGGCTGCACAAGAGGCTCGCTGGCTCTCCTTCCTTCTTGAGGAGCTTGGTGCCCCCCAGCGCTGTCCCACCATTTGGTGTGACAACGCCAGCACCATTCACCTCACGAAGGATGCTGTGTTTCACGGGCGCTCCAAGCACATTGAGCTCCGTCATTTCTTCATTCGCGATCTTGTTCAGGCTGGGCACCTTCGGCTCGATAAGGTTGACTCCGCAGCCAACCTTGCCGACATCTTCACGAAAGCTCTTCCGCATGCGGCTCACTCTTCACTGATTCGTCTCCTTGGCCTTACACCTCCGAAGTTGGTCTCCACTTCTTGATTATAGCCTTCTAGCCTTATGCATGTTGGGGGGTTGTGTTGTAATTCCATATTTTATACAACATGCATAGGCTAGACTTAGATGTGTAGCAGTCTTATAAATTGGGGGGTTGGTTAGTGTACCCTCCAACCACATTTTGTGGTTGGTGGGGATTGGTCCTTACCTCAACCAATCCCAACCAACACACATTTTGTGGTTGCTTGGGCCACAAGCAAACTCACCCATTGGCCAACTTATTGGCCAATAGGGTAAGCTTCCCTCTCATCTCTCTCTTGCTCATTGCTTGTATTAAATAGCCTTTTGACTCATTATTCAGTGCATCAATTCTTCTTTCTCACAGTTCATACAGCTCAACACTTCACACACCTTCCCCTCTCTCTCAAATCAACCCACCTTGCTCTCTTCCAACGAAACCGCCTCCCCTTCACTGTCCCGCATCAGCGCCCGCACCCTGTCGCTCACTTTCGATGCACTGCATGACTGGGCCCTAAGACCACACACACAGCCACACCACCCACCTTGCTCTCTTCCAATGCAACCGCCTCCCCTTCACTGTCCCGCATCAGCGCCCGCACCCTGTCGCCCACGCGCACTGAACCCGACGCTATCCGGCCAATCAGCAGGCGACCGAGAAACGGGTCCCTATCAATGAGTGACACCTGGCACACGAGCGCATGGACGGTGAAAGAATCTCAAGTTACGATAATGATATAGGAGAGATGGGTTTACGTAGGAGAGAAAACGGTGGGTACATTGGATGAGTGGCACCATCATTGGTGGGCCAATTAGGTTGGCCACCCAATGATTGGTGGGGTCGACCAAGATTATTCGGGGGGGGGGGAGGGGGGGGGGAGGGGGGTGGGTGGGTGGGGAATGATTGGTTAGATGGTCCAACCATTACTTGGGACTCCCGTCAAATGCGGTCCAAAAGGGTCGGGAAGCGCCCACCGAAAATTGGTTGGGGCGACTTGGCCCATGTAACACTTGCGATATCATAAACTAACATGTGCTATAATCTAACAGACGGGACAAGAGGACACAGCTAAGAGGAACGAGCTGAGCACTGGGGCCGGCATGGCAATCGGTCAAGAATGGTTACGAATGGCATGGTGTTGTTGATACGACGAGACAGTGGAATGAAGAGAGCTGAGCACACTGCGGATGCTCAGCCTACCAGCATCTGAAAGGGCGCTGTTGGATTGGATCCACCACAGGAGGCGGCACTCGGTCCAGAATGGCCCTCGAGAATCGGCACCACGCCACTCTCCCCTCTCGCTGCTGCTGCTGCTAAAGAGGTGCGCATACCTGGATGGATGAAGAGCCTACCAGCATCTGAAAGGGCGCTGTTGGATCCACCACAGGAGGCGGCACTCGGTCCAGAATGGCCTCAAGAATCGACACCACTCTACTCTCCCCCTTCGCTGCTGCTTCTGTTAAAGAGGAGCGCATACCTGGATGGATGCAGAAAGCCTACCAGCATTTGGAAGGGTGCGGTATGATCTACCACCGGAGGCGGGACACGATCAAGAATGGCATCGAGAATCGGCACCACGCCGCCGCTCTCCCCCTTCCCTGCTGCTGCTGCTGCTGCTGCTGCCGCTGCTGCTGCTGCTGGTGCTGCTGTTTCAGCTCCTGTTGCTGTGAGCTGGGGCGGGGGCCAGGAGGGGCTGGCCCAGCCGTGTCGGGCCGAGGCGTAAAGCACCGGGAAGTCCAGCTGCTCCTCTGAAGGGGTATAGGGGAAGGGCGGTTGAGAGGGGAATCGTATGTTAGGCGCGAGTGAGGAAGGGAGGGAGCATGGAGCACAGAGGAGCTGTCCCAGCCATGCCTGACCGAGGAGTAGAGCACCGGGAACTCCAGCTGCTCCTCTGAAGGGCGGATTGGGGAGGGTGTGAGGGAGGCGACTTAGATCGGTTGCAGCATGCAGCATGGAGCATGGAGCATGGAGCATGGAGCATGGAGCATGGAGCATGGAGCATGGAGCATGGAGCATGGAGCATGGAGCATGGAGCATGGAGCATGGAGCATGGAGCATGGAGCATGGAGCATGGAGCATGGAGCATGGAGCATGGAGCATGGAGCACCGTGTCAAGAGGAGCTGGCCCAGTTGTGTCGAGCCTACGCGTAGAGCACACCACAGGGAAGTCCAGCTGCTCCTCTGATGAGATATGGCAGATGAGCGGAGAATTGGGGAATTAATCTTACATGAGGTGGGAGGGAGGCAGCACGGCGCACAGGGCAGGGGACCAAGAGGAGACATAGTGCTGGTAACCACCTGAGACATGGTGGTATGTAACCACCTGACACACAGATATAAATACCTGGAACATAGTGGTAACAACCTGTCACATAGTGGTAACCACCTGACACATCGGGTAACCACCTGACACATCGGGTAACCACCTGACACGTAGTGGTAACCACTTGACACATCGGGTAACCACCTGACACGTAGTGGTAACCACTTGACACATCGGGTAACCACCTGACACGTAGTGGTAACCACCTGACGGACAAGTAGTAGTAGCAACCATCTGATAGGCAAGGAGTGGTAACCACCTGACACGTAGTGGTAACCACTTGACACATCGGGTAACCACCTGACACGTAGTGGTAACCACTTGACACATCGGGTAACCACCTGACACGTAGTGGTAACCACCTGACGGACAAGTAGTAGTAGCAACCATCTGATAGGCAAGGAGTGGTAACCACCTGTGGCATCAAAGGAGGCGAAGAGGTCGAAGATGGCTGATTCCACTTGATGCACCATCTGCGTGGTCACTGCAGTGTGGTGCGGTGGGGTGTGGTGCAGTGTGGTATGGTGCAGTGGGGTGTGGTGGGATGGGGTGGAGAGGGGAGAGAAGGGGAGGAAGAAGAGTAAGAATGGCGGTTCAAGTCGGCAGATTCCACTTGGTGCACCATCAGCGTGGTCACTGACTCACTGTGGTGTGGTGTGGTGTAGTGGGGGGTGGGGGGGAGTGGAATGGGGTGGGGTGAGGTGACAGAGGGATGCAGAGCAAACCCAAAACATAACATGACATAACATGAAGTGACATGTCATAGCATGGCAAGGCATGGCAAGGCGAGGCATCACATGGCATGACATGGAATCGCATGGTATGGCATGGCGATTGAACAATTTTGCATCGGCATGAAAAAAAACCAGCTAATAAGTTGGAATCACCTGAGTCTCGGAACCTCAGTAAAATTCACCCGCTACTCTGCAAGAACCACCTGAGTCTCTAGGAATCACCTGAGGCTCTGTTGAAGTCAGCTGCTGCACTCTTAAAAGCACCTCAAAGACTCCGTTGGAATCACCTGAGACTTTGTAGGAATCACCTGAGGGCCGGTCGCACTTGTTGAGCACAACGATGGGCTTTAAGCCCCTCTGCAGCGCCTTCCCCAACACAAACTTGGTCTGAGCCAAGGGACCCTCGGCCACATCTACCAATAGCAGCGCCCCATCCACCATGCCCATCACCCGCTCCACCTGTGGGGTAGTGGGGGGAAGAGAGGGAGGGATCGAGTGATAAGGGATGAAGAAATGGTGGGTGGGAGAGGGGAGGTGGGGGCTGGAGGTGGGAGGTGGGAGCAGAGCCTTCCCCAACACAAACTTGGTTGGTCTGAGCCAATGGCCCCTCCGCCACATCGACCAATAGCAGCGCCCCATCCACCATGCCCATCACCCGCTCCACCTGTGGGGTAGTGATGAGGGGAGGGGGATGTTAACCAAGGGGGTGGTTTAATGCCGTGCCATCCACTCCCCCCATCCAACTTGGTTTGAGCCAAGGGGCCCTCCGCCACATTGACCAATAGCAGCGCCCCATCCACCATGCCCATCACCCGCTCCACCTGTTGGGGGAAGGGGGGAAAGGGGGAAGGGGGGGATGAAGTGGGTGTATAGACAACGGGTACAAAACTTTCAAAACCCTACAAATCAGTCAATCCTAAACCCAGAAGCTTTGAAAAACCAAAGAGTTGACTTTTGTGATCAAGACGCAACTCAATGGCCTGATCTCCCTCCTAGGGAACTCACCTCTCCCCAACAAGTCAATTGCCCAATTTTCCTTCCTGATCAAGATGTAACCTTCCCCACATTTCACCCCCTCAAAATCTCAATCCCTTGAATCTTATCTTACCCCCTCGGATCTTACCGTCCCCCTCCCCCATCTCACCCCCCTCGAATCTTATATCCCCCCCTCCGATCTTACCACCTCCTCCCTTCCCCCCCCCCATCTCACCCCCCTCGGATCTTACCTCCCCTCCGAAATCCGCGTGACCAGGAGTGTCCACGAGGTTGAGAGTGGTGCCCCTGAACGTGACTGACGTGTACTGTCACAGTCACATGAGTCACAATCACAAAATGGCATAGATTAGGAGCAATAGTTGCGAATGCGCGACACTATCCCCAGCAGGTACAACACCCACACTCGGACAAGAAAGACGCTTGAAAGGGTTTCAGGTTTGTGGTTCAAGGTTTTAGCGTCGTTGAAAAGTTGCAAGTGCCAACATTAAGTCTCCCAACCCCTGTCAAATCTCGTGTTTTAGACCGGATGTTAAATCTCGTGTTGCTCTCTGCTGTTTCGTGATTTCCCCTGCTGTCTCCTGCTGCCTAGATTGTAATGCGCACCTTGCTCGCGATCGTGATTCCTCGTTCTCGCTCCAGAGCGATCGAGTCCATCACTCGTTCGCACGGCAACTCCGACGATCCCGATCCGCCTCCTCCGCCGCTAGCGGAGGTGGTGGTGGCAGCAGCAGAGCTCGAGGCGCGGATGAGGCGATCCATGAGCGTCGTCTTGCCGTGATCGACATGCGCGATGATCGCCACGTTGCGAATCGCGTCATTGCGAAACGCGTCGTGCGATTCGGCGATCGGAGTTGCCGAGGAATTATCTAGGCCGACCGCGTCAGCTGCGGCGCCAGCGGCGCTGGTGCTGAATCTGTAGCTTCTAGGCGGTCTAGCTTCTCGACAGATCGAGCCGCTATAGTGCGGCGCGGAGGAGACTAAGGAACAGGCGGATGCATTCCAAACCAGCGAACGGTTGAGATGATCAGGCCCTACGCCTAGACGGCTTGGATCCACTTCAACAGATCGGATCCACGAGCAGGAGCTTAAAGCCCTGCTGACGTGGCACAGGAAGGAATCGGCGCTACTGGCAGCAGAGGAGATGCTGGTAGCGTGCTCTCCGCGCCTCGCGAGGAACCCGCGAGCCCCGGAAATGAACAGCCGGGCGCGAGTCATTCTGGCCTACATGAGCTGCTCAGGCCGAATGGAAAGTTCTCCTAGAACGGGCTAGTTGTTGTGTCGTAACGCACCCATCCAGATCGAGTCGCAGGACGGTAATTCAAGTGCCTGCCTATACGTTGTCGCCTAAGTTGTTGGATGCCTACCCAAGTGTTCTATATTAGTTGTGTTTTATGCTATGATTGAATATCATGTCTCTGTGGACAGCTTTCATTTCAGTCATCTTCAGGTCGGCCATGTTATGATTTACCAAGAGATTTAACTCCTCTCTGAAAGATTTTTCAAAAGTATCTCGCATAGATTCCATTTCATTCCGGAGGTATGTGTATATTTTATGTGTATGAAGATGGTTTTATACACATAAAAGAGTTTGACTCAATAAGCACCAAACGTCAAGTCTCGGATTGTGCTGACGTCAACTCATCTGCTTCTGACACGGCAACGGCTTGGCGCAATGTCCCAAGAAAAGGGCACCTCCCCGACACCGTCAGCTTGGATTTCCCGCCAAAAGCATTTGGATTCCCTTCGTGGCAGCACCAGCGGTGCGCATTTTCGGGCATTTTCAAGGTCCAAACCAAACTCGGGGGAATGGCTTGGCCAAACTCTTGTTGAGCGTCGCCCCGCAAAGAGCTCTTTATTAGGGGGTACGGAGTGATAGAGAAGGGGTGCATTGCGGTTTAGAGTAAATTTTGCGGCATTCTACTTAAAATTGCCGACTTGTGAGCCTGCCATCAGGAATATTCAGCCTGGTATAGTTGTCTGCGCTGGAGTCGCTGTGAGCTGAAGAAGCTTGGCTTGCGGACGGCGTGCACCGCATGCATGCCCGCAAAATAAGAGGTCACGTTATCTTTCCTTTCTGGTCGAGATGAGGCAGATACTCGGCGAGCTACGCTAGTGCTTATCACATTTACCTTGCGATCCGTCACTGTACTATCTGCTGAGTCATCCTCATTAAAGTGATAGGACCAAAATTCTGCCTTTACCGTCGTTATCATTTAAAAACTTGCTTCTGAATCACGCCGCACGTGTAGCGCGCAGCTATAGTTGGGGAACTTGGGCTCACAAGTCGAGATAATGGCGGTCGCAACCATCCGCATTCCTGGCCTCAACTACAGGCCGCGGAACCCTACATTAGTACGCTATCGCTCAAGCGCCGGTTCCTCTTCGCAGACTTCCTTCCTGCGAACTTTTTTTCCGGGTAACCACCGCTTTGAACGTCGCCGCCAGTTCGAGTTGCCTCGCGAAAAACGACGGCTGGTGCTCGTTGATGCGAAGATTTCGAAAGCCGACGACGCGGCTCGCGACAGACGGAACCTGCAGAAACGACACGATGGCTGGCGGGGGGAAAGCGCGAAAAAGAAATCATCAACGGCTAGTACTACCGCATCTGCTAGTAGCCCCCCCAAGGAAGTCCCTGCTGATTCTTCCCCTCCTGCTGTCGTTTCCTCTCCTGCTGATTCTGGTACCTCCGAGCCTGCTGCTACTGTTTCGGTAACAGCTGCTGCCCCCGAACCTGCTGATACCTCTGTGCCTGATACCGTACCTGCGAATGCTTCCGGCACGGAAACGGCTCTCGCGACGGAACCAGATGCATCAACAGCGGCAGCCGCGGCCGCAGCCGCAGACACAGCGACAGACACAGCCACAGCAGCAGAACCGGTACTAATTGCACCTCCAGAAGACGTGCCGCCAAGCGAAGCAGCATTGCCGCGTACAGCAATTGCAACGGAGAGTCCTTTTCCCGCCCTTTCTGCGGCAGCGCAGGAGTCTTTAAGTCGCGCTCAGCGTGCCTCTAGCGGTGCGTGGCAGAGCCTAGCGACGGCTGCTGCCGAGCCTGTCACCCTGCCGAAGCAGCTGCAGGAAAGCGTGCAGGCCCTGCCTCTCCCGCCGAGCCTGACAAGGAGGCTCGGGGTCGCAGATGGCTCGGCTGTGCTACTAACGAGGGGTCAGCTGGCAGCGGCGTTGCTCGCTGTTGGCCTGCTGGTTAAAGGGATTCAGTCATGGTTGAAAGCCAGGTGAGCTTCGATTCTTGTTTCTTTGAATTGAATTTATTTGATCTAACTCTACATAAAAAAGCGTCTCGTCGCTGTTGGCCTGCTGGTCAAAGTGATTCAGTCTTGGGTGAAAGCCAGGTGAGGGGGAGGAAGAAAGGGGAAATGGGAAGAGGAAGGGTGGGGTCAGTTGGCTATGACATTGCTTGTGATCTGGCTGCTGCTGAAAGGTCTAGCTGGGTCATAACTGAATGCGTATGAAAGTGTGCTTTCTCTTTTTACGATTTCAATCGTGACTAACCTCTCTCCACACACCCTGACTAACCTCTCTCCACACACCCTGACCAACCTCTCTCCACACACCCTGACCAACCTCTCTCCACACACCTTGACGAATCCGATTTGAGAGTCTCTCGCTACACACCCCAGATCCTCCCCCCATGCCTCCATCCCCACCCACGCCTGCCCCCGTTTTCTTCTCCAGTCTGCTCGTCGTGACAGTGAGTCTACTGTATGCTGGAGTAACAAATATAATTAAATATTCACAGCAGTGAGAATCCAATTGATTTTATCCCCACGTTTGCCCCCTCTTCTTTTTCAGAGCCACTGCTCTCAACAATGAGTACGCCGTTCCTGCGCCGCTCCTCCCTGCTTCTCCGAACTTCCCTACCATACCGGACCTCCCTCCTGTCGTACCTACAAAGCGGACACCAGAGGAACTTCCGAACCTCCCTGTTTCTTCACCTCCAAGACAACTTCCTGAAAGAGCTATAGCTCCAGTGCCTGTTCCAGTCATGGCGTCTGCGTATGTAGCAACTGCGTCCGCTTCTTCATCATCATCATCATCATCAGCAGCAGCAGCAGCAACGTCGTCAGCAGCAGTAGCAGCAGTATCATTGCCATCAGCTGCAGTAGCACCCTCGTCAGCAGCAGCAGCAGCTGCAGCAAAGGAGGCATGTGCACCACTGCCAGCAGCACTGATCGAATCAGAACCACCCTTTGAGACATTCACTAACCCTGACAACACTGGAAGCAGGGCAGAAAGCAGGGAGGAAGAAAAGACTTTGCTGCCCCCTGCATTCTTCAAGTTCACTGACTCCCTCCCTCCGTTACCTTTCCCTTTCAAAAATTGGAGTTCTTTTGGAAAGGCCTCTGGTGTGAGTCCAATTGATATGGACGAAATAGACCGGATGGCAGCAGCTGCAGCCTCTAAGGGTGATGTGTCAGACTCGGAAATAGACGATCGTCCGAGGCTGATAAAATTACAACAAGGTAAGTGTCTCTTCTCTTTTCATATATGTGCTTTTGTACTCACGACTCCAAAGAATTCAATCTTGCAACATATTTATCCTTGCAAATTTCTTAAATCGTTACTTGTTCCTCCGTAATACTGTTGTATGCAGATAACGCAATGGCGTGGTTCGCTTTGATAACAGGGTTTCTCGTGCTTGTTGCGTATGCATGGAATCCTGCTAACCCGTTGAACCCATGAACCTTACTGGCTCTCCTTTTCTTACTACCCGTATTTGCTTCAAGAGAATATATGCTAACTGTAGGACTGATATGGTATGTATTTAGTTTATTGTGGGTGTTTAAGGTATCTGTCCCTATAGCGCGTGAGTTGAAACTGTTGAATTTGTTGAAGTTGACTTGACAGTTAAAGGCAGGGTCTCAAGTGACCAAGTGCTTTGCAGTCGATGAAAAACGGGCCTGTCTAATTGGTGTACAAATTTGGGGACAAAGTTTTGACAAGTCGAGACTCTCCAAAGAGCCCACGTTTCGCCCAAGTGCTTTGTCGAGACCCTGGCTTTAACTGGCGCCCGAGTCTGTCTTTAGAGCGTGTTCGCTCAGCCTTTCATTGACAATGCATTGATCAAATTTCAGGTGGGCGGGTGTGTGAGATGATTGTGCTACTGTGGGTGTCAACAACTGGTTTACGAGTTACCAGTGCGCAATTCATGGCGGCTTGTTTGAGTGGTGAATTTGGCTAAAATCTAGAAATCCTTCGTTTCTTGCTTTGTCAGCAAATACAGCTCATAGCTAAAACCGTTTTGTCTCCTCACTGGCTGTCCGCTGACTGGACAGGGAGAAGCGTTTGGGGCAGTACGTCTCATCCGATCAGCTACTGTACTGTAGCCAAAGCCGTTGCCCCGCAGCTTCGGTCAACGTCGCGACGTGACGTCGGATTTCGATTGGACATAGGGAATGCAACGTCACATGAATTTGGGGAGCGACGGTTTCACGCTGAGCTGATTGTGGCTCCACCAAATCTCACGCCTCCGTGCTAACTGCTGCTGTGCAACTTCACACCAGCTGCTTCCCCCCATCCCACCCGCACTCCAGCAAGAAATTACAGATTTGGTTCGAGCATCGTGCGGTATCAGACTATAGCGTTAATAAACCGCACTTGACCTTTTCAGAAATACTCACTACTCTCTCGATTTTCCTCCATGCCCCTGCATTTGTCAGCTGCCGTGCTGCGGGTGTTCTCACCTCACTAAACCCAACCCAAACCAACCCAAACCATCCCAGCTCATAGCAACCCAATCCATTCTCCAATCACCCCCAGCCCTTCAGTACGGTTTTCTCTGGTCGGCGAGAGTGCCAAGCCACAGGCGGTTTGCACGGGACATCCATTCTGAAACAGCTATCATTTGCCTTATGTTGTCGCCACTACCGTTGCTTTACGTTTAGCACACGCATCGCACTTTTTTACGATCAGGCATTCGAGCAGTGGACCGACCAGCAGTCTTTCCATGGCTTATCTGGAAAACTCAGCCCGTATTCCTCCTCTTTCCGTTCCCTTATCTCAACCTTCCCTGGTGGAAACGCAGTTTAGGTTTCTCTCATAACTGGATAGGTTTCGCTTCTCGCGTAAAACTTCTGGAAAGCCAAAAGTATCGCGGCTTGACTGGATAGGCTTGAGTCGGAACCATGCGGCGTTCACACACGATGGCGGGAGCAAAATACCCTCGAGGCGCGCGTTCGATCACCTTTCCTCACGACGCGCTGTGCGCTCACGCCAGTGCTACAGCATGCATCTTCCTGCTACTCCTCTACTGCTCACCAGCGACGGCTTTCGGGCCCATATCGAGGCAGCTAATATCGAATCTGCATGCAGCACGCCGCGTACGGGGAGTCTCCGCGCGGACGGTTCCGCCACCCGCAGCGCGATTGGTCGCCGCGCGGAGGGCGGAGAAATCGTCCACGGAGAAAGAGTTACCCGCGGAAAAGGCATTTTCCGCGGAGCGCGCGGAAGAGGCGTCGGCGGGCGGCGGAACCAGCGGCGGAACCAGCTTCCCTTACAGCATGTCCACGAGTTTAGGGTTGCGCGTATCCGCAGTCTCGCCGCAGGCTTCGGCGGCTAACACGGCAGCTCTTAAGGCAATCTTCGCGGCGGCGCTGCTCCCAATCCCGGCAAACAAGCCAAACGCGTGCGCGTGGCCCGGCGTGACTTGCGCCGCAAACGGAGCTGTCGTTGGGCTAAACCTCACGAGCACCGTCAGCCGTCTCTTGCTCCCACCCACGCCTCGCCTTTGCAACCGCACTGCGCGCGTACCCGGCGGGAAATTCCCCGCAACCCTCTCCGAGTCTATCGGCCAGTTAACGGATCTCGTCCAGCTTTATCTGCCTAACCTCTGGCTTGCCGGCGCGGTCCCGCGATCCCTTTCCCGGCTTACGAAACTCGACACTCTCGATCTACAGGATAACTGCTTCGCTGGTCCTCTTCCCGTCGCGTTTTTTCGCCTGCCGAATCTGTACTCCCTGACCGCGTCGCGAAATTTCTTCTCCAGCGGGTTACCACAACGCGCTGCTTCGTACGCTTCGATGACTTCGCTAGCGATTCTGGACCTGGGGATTAATTGGCTGTCCGGGCCGATTCCCGCTGCTCTTGCTACGCTGCCGAGTCTTGGGGGGTTACTTTTAAACACGAATCGGCTATCTGGAAAAATCCCGCCTGCGCTGCTAAAAAGGGAATCGTTCTCGCTTGTTTTAGACGGGAACCGGCTTTCTGGTGATCTGAGCGGGCAGCAGATAAAAGCTACTCTCATTGGCATGAGCCAAAACAGGCTGACCGGAAACTTCAACACGATCCAGTTGACCGATTCACTGACCTTCATTGATGTTTCACAAAACTTGTTTTCGGGCTCCTTTCCGCGGATCTTGTGCCGTTCGGGCAGCCTTGAAAGCGCGGACTTTTCGCGCAATCGGTTGACAGGAACCGTTCCAGCCAACTGCTTCAAGACTGCGAATCCTATGCAGCTTGCCATCTTCTTAAGCCACAACAATTTCTCGGGCAGCTTGCAGCCTTTTTCGAACCTGCCCAGTTCCATCGCTGCAGTGGACCTTGGATTCAACAGATTTACAGGGGGAATTCCCCGAGGCCTCACCACTTTACCCCAGCTAAACTATTTGGACCTCGGTGGAAACTCTCTGACAGGTAAGCTGACTGTTGTTCACTCTTCTTGTCCACACTTCCCCCTCCCCCCTTGCTAGCTCCTACCTCCCTCTCCCATCCCTCAATCCAAATCTTTTTCCTCATCACTTTGATTTCCACGCCACCGCTTTCCTGCCTCTCCTCTCCCTGCTCCACGTCCCTCGCCCCTTCATCCCCCCTACAGGCCCCCTCCCCCCCTTTTGTCAGGCCCATCAAGCCCTCACCGTTCTCGTCCCTAAATCTGCTTTCTCGCGACTCTTCTTCCCACTTTCCTGCCTCTCCTCTTCTTGCTCCGCACCCCATTCCCTCTTCTTCCACGCCCAGCAGGCCCTCACCTTCCTCAACCCTAACTCTGCTTTCTCGTGACTCTGCTTTCTCGTGACTCTGCTTTCTCGTGACTCTGCTTTCTCGTGACTCTGCTTTCTCGTGACTCTGCTTTCTCGTGACTCTGCTTTCTCGTGACTCTGCTTTCTCGTGACTCTGCTTTCTCGTGACTCTGCTTTCTCGTGACTCTGCTTTCTCGTGACTCTGCTTTCTCGTGACTCTGCTTTCTCGTGACTCTGCTTTCTCGTGACTCTGCTTTCTCGTGACTCTGCTTTCTCGTGACTCTGCTTTCTCGTGACTCTGCTTTCTCGTGACTCTGCTTTCTCGTGACTCTGCTTTCTCGTGACTCTGCTTTCTCGTGACTCTGCTTTCTCGTGACTCTGCTTTCTCGTGACTCTGCTTTCTCGTGACTCTGCTTTCTCGTGACTCTGCTTTCTCGTGACTCTGCTTTCTCGTGACTCTGCTTTCTCGTGACTCTGCTTTCTCGTGACTCTGCTTTCTCGTGACTCTGCTTTCTCGTGACTCTGCTTTCTCGTGACTCTGCTTTCTCGTGACTCTGCTTTCTCGTGACTCTGCTTTCTCGTGACTCTGCTTTCTCGTGACTCTGCTTTCTCGTGACTCTGCTTTCTCGTGACTCTGCTTTCTCGTGACTCTGCTTTCTCGTGACTCTGCTTTCTCGTGACTCTGCTTTCTCGTGACTCTGCTTTCTCGTGACTCTGCTTTCTCGTGACTCTGCTTTCTCGTGACTCTGCTTTCTCGTGACTCTGCTTTCTCGTGACTCTGCTTTCTCGTTACTCTGCTTTCTCGTTACTCTGCTTTCTCGTTACTCTGCTTTCTCGTGACTCTGCTTTCTCGTGACTCTGCTTTCTCGTGACTCTGCTTTCTCGTGACTCTGCTTTCTCGTGACTCTGCTTTCTCGTGACTCTGCTTTCTCGTGACTCTGCTTTCTCGTGACTCTGCTTTCTCGTTACTCTGCTTTCTCGTTACTCTGCTTTCTCGTTACTCTGCTTTCTCGTTACTCTGCTTTCTCGTTACTCTGCTTTCTCGTTACTCTGCTTTCTCGTTACTCTGCTTTCTCGTTACTCTGCTTTCTCGTTACTCTGCTTTCTCGTTACTCTGCTTTCTCGTGACTCTGCTTTCTCGTGACTCTGCTTTCTCGTGACTCTGCTTTCTCGTGACTCTGCTTTCTCGTGACTCTGCTTTCTCGTGACTCTGCTTTCTCGTTACTCTGCTTTCTCGTTACTCTGCTTTCTCGTTACTCTGCTTTCTCGTTACTCTGCTTTCTCGTTACTCTGCTTTCTCGTTACTCTGCTTTCTCGTTACTCTGCTTTCTCGTTACTCTGCTTTCTCGTTACTCTGCTTTCTCGTTACTCTGCTTTCTCGTTACTCTGCTTTCTCGTTACTCTGCTTTCTCGTTACTCTGCTTTCTCGTTACTCTGCTTTCTCGTTACTCTGCTTTCTCGTTACTCTGCTTTCTCGTTACTCTGCTTTCTCGTTACTCTGCTTTCTCGTTACTCTGCTTTCTCGTTACTCTGCTTTCTCGTTACTCTGCTTTCTCGTTACTCTGCTTTCTCGTTACTCTGCTTTCTCGTTACTCTGCTTTCTCGTTACTCTGCTTTCTCGTTACTCTGCTTTCTCGTTACTCTGCTTTCTCGTTACTCTGCTTTCTCGTGACTCTGCTTTCTCGTGACTCTGCTTTCTCGTTACTCTGCTTTCTCGTTACTCTGCTTTCTCGTTACTCTGCTTTCTCGTTACTCTGCTTTCTCGTGACTCTGCTTTCTCGTGACTCTGCTTTCTCGTGACTCTGCTTTCTCGTGACTCTGCTTTCTCGTGACTCTGCTTTCTCGTGACTCTGCTTTCTCGTTACTCTGCTTTCTCGTTACTCTGCTTTCTCGTTACTCTGCTTTCTCGTTACTCTGCTTTCTCGTTACTCTGCTTTCTCGTTACTCTGCTTTCTCGTTACTCTGCTTTCTCGTTACTCTGCTTTCTCGTTACTCTGCTTTCTCGTTACTCTGCTTTCTCGTTACTCTGCTTTCTCGTTACTCTGCTTTCTCGTTACTCTGCTTTCTCGTTACTCTGCTTTCTCGTTACTCTGCTTTCTCGTTACTCTGCTTTCTCGTTACTCTGCTTTCTCGTTACTCTGCTTTCTCGTTACTCTGCTTTCTCGTTACTCTGCTTTCTCGTTACTCTGCTTTCTCGTTACTCTGCTTTCTCGTTACTCTGCTTTCTCGTTACTCTGCTTTCTCGTTACTCTGCTTTCTCGTTACTCTGCTTTCTCGTTACTCTGCTTTCTCGTTACTCTGCTTTCTCGTTACTCTGCTTTCTCGTTACTCTGCTTTCTCGTTACTCTGCTTTCTCGTTACTCTGCTTTCTCGTTACTCTGCTTTCTCGTTACTCTGCTTTCTCGTTACTCTGCTTTCTCGTTACTCTGCTTTCTCGTTACTCTGCTTTCTCGTTACTCTGCTTTCTCGTTACTCTGCTTTCTCGTTACTCTGCTTTCTCGTTACTCTGCTTTCTCGTTACTCTGCTTTCTCGTTACTCTGCTTTCTCGTGACTCTGCTTTCTCGTGACTCTGCTTTCTCGTGACTCTGCTTTCTCGTGACTCTGCTTTCTCGTGACTCTGCTTTCTCGTGACTCTGCTTTCTCGTGACTCTGCTTTCTCGTGACTCTGCTTTCTCGTGACTCTGCTTTCTCGTTACTCTGCTTTCTCGTTACTCTGCTTTCTCGTTACTCTGCTTTCTCGTTACTCTGCTTTCTCGTTACTCTGCTTTCTCGTTACTCTGCTTTCTCGTTACTCTGCTTTCTCGTTACTCTGCTTTCTCGTTACTCTGCTTTCTCGTTACTCTGCTTTCTCGTTACTCTGCTTTCTCGTTACTCTGCTTTCTCGTTACTCTGCTTTCTCGTTACTCTGCTTTCTCGTTACTCTGCTTTCTCGTTACTCTGCTTTCTCGTTACTCTGCTTTCTCGTTACTCTGCTTTCTCGTTACTCTGCTTTCTCGTTACTCTGCTTTCTCGTTACTCTGCTTTCTCGTGACTCTGCTTTCTCGTGACTCTGCTTTCTCGTGACTCTGCTTTCTCGTGACTCTGCTTTCTCGTGACTCTGCTTTCTCGTGACTCTGCTTTCTCGTGACTCTGCTTTCTCGTGACTCTGCTTTCTCGTGACTCTGCTTTCTCGTTACTCTGCTTTCTCGTTACTCTGCTTTCTCGTTACTCTGCTTTCTCGTTACTCTGCTTTCTCGTTACTCTGCTTTCTCGTTACTCTGCTTTCTCGTTACTCTGCTTTCTCGTTACTCTGCTTTCTCGTTACTCTGCTTTCTCGTTACTCTGCTTTCTCGTTACTCTGCTTTCTCGTTACTCTGCTTTCTCGTTACTCTGCTTTCTCGTTACTCTGCTTTCTCGTTACTCTGCTTTCTCGTTACTCTGCTTTCTCGTTACTCTGCTTTCTCGTTACTCTGCTTTCTCGTTACTCTGCTTTCTCGTTACTCTGCTTTCTCGTTACTCTGCTTTCTCGTTACTCTGCTTTCTCGTTACTCTGCTTTCTCGTTACTCTGCTTTCTCGTTACTCTGCTTTCTCGTTACTCTGCTTTCTCGTTACTCTGCTTTCTCGTTACTCTGCTTTCTCGTTACTCTGCTTTCTCGTTACTCTGCTTTCTCGTTACTCTGCTTTCTCGTTACTCTGCTTTCTCGTTACTCTGCTTTCTCGTTACTCTGCTTTCTCGTTACTCTGCTTTCTCGTTACTCTGCTTTCTCGTTACTCTGCTTTCTCGTTACTCTGCTTTCTCGTTACTCTGCTTTCTCGTTACTCTGCTTTCTCGTTACTCTGCTTTCTCGTTACTCTGCTTTCTCGTTACTCTGCTTTCTCGTTACTCTGCTTTCTCGTTACTCTGCTTTCTCGTTACTCTGCTTTCTCGTTACTCTGCTTTCTCGTTACTCTGCTTTCTCGTTACTCTGCTTTCTCGTTACTCTGCTTTCTCGTTACTCTGCTTTCTCGTTACTCTGCTTTCTCGTTACTCTCTCTCGTCCTGCTTCCCCTCCCTCACCCTCCTCCGGGCCCCTCTCTCTGCTCTCCTTTTAATCGACTTTTTTCCCCTCCCTATTCCATCCTTGTCTTTCCTCTTACCTCCCCTCCCCGAACCCACAAACCCTATCCTGTAAGGTCCTATCCTACCGGGCGAGTAACCCCCCCCTCAGCCTCAATCCCGCCTCCAACGCACTCTTTGGCCTGCCCACCCCTCTCCTCCCTCTCACCCTCCTCTTTCCGCGCCCTGCCTCTCCTTCCCCCCCTCTCTGCTCTCCACTTTAAACAAATATTTGTTCCTTTTCTTTTCCATCTGTGTTCCCTCCTTCCTCCCCTCCCCCACCCCACAGGCCCCATCTCCTGCTTCTGCCAGGCCGAGCAAGCACTCATCTTCTTCAACTGTAAATCTGCTTTCCCATCACTCTCATTCCCACTCCCCGTCTCGACTCTCCTCTCCCTGTTCATTCCCACCCCACAGGCCCCATTCCCAACTTCTGCCAGGCCGAACAAGCCCTCCCTTTCCTCAACCCTAAATTTGATTTCCCTCACTCGCGTTCCCACTCCCCCGGCTCTTTTCTCACTGTTCATTCCCCACCCCACAGGCCCCATCCCCGCCTTCTGCCAGGGTAAGCAACAACTGACCTACCTCAATCTCGCCTCCAACGCCCTCTCCGGCCCGCCCACCCCGCTCTCCTCCCAATCCTGCTCCGCCTCCCTCGCCCTCCTCTACCTCTCCTCCAACCGCCTCTCCGGCCCAATCCCCGCTACAATCAGCTCCTTTACCCGTCTCAAGCGGCTTCTCCTTGACAAAAACGCACTTACAGGAGCGATCCCAGCTGGTGTCAGCAAAATGCAGCGGTTACAGGGACTTGGGTTGTCATATAACAGGCTAACGGGGAAAATCCCCGCGGTTTGGCCGGCAGCTGTACGGACCTTGCTGCTGGCGGGGAACCGGCTGTCAGGGGCTGTTCCGGCTGCTCTGAGCAAGCTGAAGCGAGGCTCGTTCAAACCAGGGAACCCTAACCTTTGTGGAAAACCACTGCCTGCTTGTGCATAGAGAATATAACCACCATCCGTGCTTGTGCTTTTAATGCAATCCAATGCAGTCGCTCCTGTTTAAATGGTCACATAGTGTGAGCAAGTTCAGGAGAGGCAGCGCGACACATGCCAGAGTGTCTCCCGTTTTAGTCTGTCCAAATATATGATGTAACAACAATAGTACTAATATGCATATTGTCGTTTGGGGGAAAATAGTTGAGTGTCACTAAAACTTGAACGCTGAATTTTTTGAAAGCACAGAAGCTGATTGACTGGGGTAGAAGTTGGCGAGGGACAGGTGTATCTCCTGACAGGCTGGATGCTGACTAATCATCGGGAAATGCGGTTTCGTGCTGAGCGTGGCTGGCTGCGTGGCCCGCATCGCAAACTGCCCCCGCACACGGTCACATGGTCTCAACGAACCGGCAGACCCGAGGAAAGAAAACAAGGTTTTGATTCGATCACCATGCTGCATCAGACTGCAGAGATAATGGACCGCATTTAAACTTTCATAAATCGCTATCATCTCGTCCGGATCTCCTGCAACGCTGCTGGATTCGTTTGTTGCACCAATGCCCGTGCCTTGCCGAGGTGTCCCCTCCCCTCCTGCTTCACCATCCATCCAACCAATCCCCTTGATAGCTCCAACTTACCAATCAACTCCCCCCCTGGATAAATCTCACCTCACCCACCCAACGTAAACGACCCCAACCCATAGTAAACCCGTCGCTTGCAGCCATACATGCTGCTGCTGATACAGCCCCCTTTCGCGGTCCCAACACTAAGGGCGCGTCCCCTTCCTCGATCGATCGTGCGCAGGATCGATCCTGCGCTCGGTTTAAAAGGGTTCAAAAAGTTAAAAACAGAACAACGCAGGATTTTAGTGCGGTGGAGGATCGATCGTCGTCGATTTTGCACGATCGATCGAGGGAGGGGACGCGCCCTAACATTCAGCACACACGCATCGCTAGGGCCAGCTCGTATTCTATCTCTATTTCTTCCTCTCATCTCGACTTCCTCGCTAGATACGCACCATATCAGGCTTTATTCTGACGTTTCTTTATTTTGTCGAAAAAAAAAAAACCGCTACAAGGCACCCGTACGCTTGCAAATAATGGCTAACCCGAACTATCCTAGAATCGCGCGCTCGACCGCCGTTCCTTACGGCGCGTTGCGCGCTCGCGCTAGTGCTACAGCGTTCCTCCTGCTGCTACTCCTCTTCTGCTCACCGACGACGGCTTTCGGGTCTATATCGAGACAGCTTGTATTGAAGCTGCATGCTGCTCGCCGCGCACGAGGAGTCTCCGCGCGGACGGTTTTGCCACCCGCAGCGCAATTGGTCGCCGCGCAGAGGGCGGAGAAATCGTCCACGGAGAAAGAATTACCCGCGGAAAAGGAATTTTCCGTGGAGCGCGCGGGGGCGTCGGCGGGCGGCGGAAGCAGCGGTGGAACCAACGGCGGAACCAGCTCCCATCACGGCATGTCCTCGAGTTTAGGGTTGCGCGTATCCTCAGCCTCGCCGCAGGCTTCGGCGGCTAACACGGCGGCTCTTAAGGCGATCTTCACAGCGGCGCTGCTCGCAATCCCCGCGAACAAGCCGAACGCGTGCGCGTGGCCCGGCGTGACTTGCGCCGCAAACGGCGCTGTCGTTAGGCTAAACCTCACGAGCACCAGCAGTCTCTTGCTCCCACCCACGCCTCGCCTTTGCAACCGCACTGCGCGCGTACCCGGCGGAAAATTTCCCGCAACCCTCTCCGAGTCTATCGGCCAGTTAACGGATCTAACCGAGCTTTGTATGAATAACCTCTGGCTTGCCGGCGAGGTCCCGCGATCCCTTTCCCGGCTTACAAAACTCGGCAATCTCGATCTCCAGGATAACTGCTTCACTGGTCCTCTTCCCGTCGCCTTTTTCCGCCTGCCGAATCTTTATTACCTGTCCGCGGCGCGAAATTTCTTCTCCGGCGGGTTACCACAACGTCCTGCTGCATACACATCAATGGCTTCGCTAAGTACTCTGGACCTCGGGATTAATTTGCTGTCCGGACCAATTCCCGCTGCCCTCGCAACGCTGCCGATGCTTCAGACGGTTTTTTTAAACACGAATCGCCTGACAGGAAATATTCCACCTGCCCTGCTGAAATTGGAACGGTCTATCCTTGTTTTAGACGGGAACCGGCTATCTGGCGATCTGAGCGGGCAGCAAATAAAAGCTTCTCTAATTGACTTGAGCCGGAACAGGCTGACCGGAAACTTCAACACGATCAGGTTCAGCGAATTTCTGGCCTTCATCGACGTTTCGGATAATTTGTTTTCGGGCTCCTTTCCTCAGATCCTGTGCCGCTCGGGCAGCCTTTCTATTGCTGATTTTTCGCGCAATCGCCTGACCGGAACCGTTCCAGCCAAGTGCTTCAAGTCTGGGAGTAGCGTGCAGGTTGACCTCTTCTTAAGCCACAACAATTTCTCGGGCAGCTTGCAGGCTCTTGCGAACCTGCCCAAGGACATCGCAGCTGTGGACCTGGGATTCAACAAATTTACAGGGGGAATTCCCCAAAGCCTCACCACTCTACCCCAGCTCAACTACTTGGACCTCGGGGGAAACGCGCTCACTGGTAAGCTGACTGCTGTTCACTCTTATTTGTCCACATTTCTGCTTCACCTGCCTTATGCATGCTCAGTCCTTTCTTCAACATCCCATCCCTCATGCCCTGCCCCACAAATCAGCTTTCTCAACCAGAAATTAAGCTTTCTCTATCTCTCTGATTTCCATTCCGCTGTTTCTTCTTTGCCTGCCTACTTCTCACCTTCCCCTCAGGCCCCATCCCCACCTTTTGCCAGGTCTATCTGACCCTCGCTGCCCACCCCTCTCCGCCCTCCCACCTCCACTTTCGGCCTTCTATCTCTTTCGCTCTCCTCCAATCGGATCTTCGTTCCCTCCTCTTCCATCCCTGTGTTTCCTACCTCCCCTTTTCTCATCCCACAGGCCCCATCCCCACTTTCTGCAAGGCTGGGCAACAACTCATCATCCTCAATCTCGCTTCCAACGCCCTCTCCGGCCCGCCCACCCCGCTTTCCTCCCCCTCCTGCTCCGCCTCCCTCTCATTCCTCTACCTCTCCTCCAACCGCCTCTCCGGCCCCATCCCCGCTACAATCAGCTCCTTTAAAAACCTCGAGCGTCTTCTCCTCGACAAAAACACACTTACAGGAGCCATCCCAGCTGGCGTCAGCAAAATGCAGCGATTACAGGGACTCGGGTTGTCATATAACAGGCTAACAGGGAAAATCCCCACGGTTTGGCCGGCAGGTGTACGGACCGCTCCTTCCAAAACGTATATGGCATGTGGCGCAGCGCTAGATAAATCATTCTACCGTGTCACGACAAAATGCGATTGTAAAGGAATCCCGTTTGAACGAATGCTGTTGTTGTGTGACGATCTGCTTTGGGAATCGCGATGCTACCTTCGGTTATGGTAGTCTGGCGGGTGGCCGCAGGTTATCTAATCGAATCTCTAGGTACTTTTGAGTTGACTAAAAAGTAGCTTAGGGTGCTCCTCATCTCTATTGCTCTACGTACTCCACACTACATCTAGTGATTCCTGAAGGGCTATGTGGTTCCTAAAGAGATAAGCTTCCTGATGTGTGAGCAAATGAGAGTCAGTGTAAGGTTGGGAGGGATTTGAAAAAAATAACGACGCAACTCACAACTTGGCAATTTGGAATTTCTTGTCACAGTATGTTCAAGAATTTTGAAGTGTGTGCGACATTCCCATCAGTGTCGTGTTTGATGTTTGTGCAGAGGTGGAAAGAACGAGTGTGCGTTGCACTATCGAGGTCAAGACTAACGAAGCGCCCTGGGGGTTCGAAATAACCTACAGTATCCATTGGCTGGGCCAAGGCGTGTCGGGCGCGCAGACTAGAACGCTGGCATGGTTGGGCCACGTGTTCCCTCGCCACTGAACCCGCACTTTTCCCGCCAGCCTCTAGCCTCAACAGTAACAGCTACTTTTGCATTTTCGACTTGGCAAGGTTGCCTGCTGAGTCACATTGGGCCCCGTCCGTCAAAACCATCCAACCCGAGGACAAGTAGACAGACAGAAGTCCGTCTCGCCTCATAGCACCTCACTGGAACTCACAGAAAACCCTGGTTCCGCACAAAGCCAGTCTATCTCTGAATGAATCATGCTGAAAGCTTCTGTTGAAAAACACTGGCGAAGCGATTTTCAGCTTTCAGCGAAATCGGAAATCCGAGAGATAAAGCGCACAGATGCACACACGGAGTCTAGAGCTGACTTCTTTGATCAGAACGTAAGACCAGCAATTAGTTAGTAGAGCGTGTTAGTCTTGGTTAGTCCTTTGCGGGATGGCGTCCTCAGCGTTGCCGTCTCGTATTAAGAAATCGTCGTGCCTGTCGCTCGATCACTTGCCGGATGACGTCCTATGTACTGTCTTTCGCCTGCTGGACAAGTATAGTAGCTCCTTCAACCACGCGTTGGTCTCGAAACGATGGTATCGCGTCGCTTGTCTCGCGCTTCCGTCAATCTCCTTTCGCCGCTCTATTCTAATCGTCGATTTTATCCGATCTCTTCTGAAGTTTAAGAATCTGACGTCCGTAACTATTAGAGGATCCGATTTCAGTGAGGTCGATTATGTTCTCCTCGCTGGCCTTGGTTCCGCCTGTCCCAAGCTGACGCGTCTTGAACTCTATGACGGAAGCTACGATCGTTCCCCTAAAACGACGAGCACGGGACTGGATGCTCTGTTCACCGGTTGCACGGCGTTGCAAACCCTTGTCGTCGACACTTGTGATAAGATCGAACGGATGCCGTCTTCTTTCTTCGGCTTGTCTTCCTTAACGGACGTTAATCTCAATTTCCGCCTGAGGGAGTTCCCGGACGAGTTCGGCGGGCTCAAATCTCTCACGAAACTGAAACTGCAGAAGTTGCTCATCAAGGACCTACCCGAGTCTTTTGGCCAGCTCACCGCCTTGACCGAGCTAGATATCTCCGAGTGCATACTGCTGTACGGCCTGCCGGATTCCTTTGGCAATCTCCGCTCGTTGAAGAAGCTCACCATTTACTACTCAAGGTCTTTTGAGGTTCTCCCTGATACCCTCCGCCAGCTTCAGAATCTCGAAGAGGTTACTTTATATGGCAACGAGTCCCTTTTGCAGCTCCCACCTTCCTTCTACCGCCTTCCTTCTCTCAAGGATCTCAAGCTGTGGATGTTGGAGGATCTCAAAGAGCTTGATAGCGAAGTGTCCAATCTCGTGTCTCTGGAAGAATTCAGTATCGACATGTGCTGCCGATTCTCTTCGCTTCCTGCATCCCTCTGCACGCTCCCCAAGCTCCGTTCCCTGGGGATCTCCGGCTGCAAGCTTCTCACTCACCTACCGCAAAGCATCGGCGATTTAACCTCACTGGAATATCTAGCGTTATGCAAGCTCAGAAACTTGAAGCGTCTGCCAGGAACAATTTCCGAGCTATCCAATCTCCGGTCCTTCACCCTGCAGCATTGCAACAGCATCACCAACATCCCTACTTCTCTATTACAGAAATCCAGGGGACTGCAAGAGCTCAGGTTTCAGTGGCCATCTTGTGCGGGAAGCCAGCAGGCTGGCAGAGTATCCTCTGGCGAAGCTGCTTTCATCTCTTCAATCTGCAAGTTATCCCACCTTAAATTTGCCTCTCTCTTTGGCTTTCCCCGCCTCAGTACTCTTCCCCAGGAATTCGGGAATCTCTTGCAGCTGGATCACATGATACTTTCCTCCTGGCCCAACTTGTCAGGGTTTCCGGATTCCATGTCCAAGCTGACGAAGCTATCGAGCGTTGTAGTGGCTGCATGCCCAGCTTTCAAGAAGTCTGCTGCTGCCGTTCCTGGGCTTCCGAATCTGAGAATCAATCTGACAAGCGATGACTGGGATTGGGACAAGGATGAAGAGGACGAGGATGAAGATGAAGAAGATGAAGAGGAAGAGGATGAAGAGGAAGAGGAGGATGAAGAAGACGAGGATGAAGAGGACGAGGATGAAGAGGACGAGGATGAAGGTACTGGTAGTTGGATGCATTGGAGGTAGTAGCTTAGTGCGTCTCGCATAAGGTACTGGTAGTTGGATGCATTGGAGGTAGTAGCTTAGTGCGTCTCGCATAACGTAGAAATATATGTTTTTCCAGTAATATGACTTGATTCAGAGGGATGCAGTAGCCATTATGCAGTGATGCTGCAGAATATTACAGTAATTTTGCATTCCTAATGTAGTACCTGCGAAAGCAAGAGGGGAGGGGAGGATTGGGGAGGTGTTGGGGGTTGAGTTTGAGGATTGAATCAGTGTGGCCTAAAAAACAAACAGGCGGCTCTGGCAAATAATGATATCTAGTCAAGGGTGACGTCTGATAACAAATTGTACCGTATGCTGCTTGCCCTGTCATCGGTGTGGAAACTGAATATTTCAGGATAAACACATAGGGTAGAGTACAGATTGCTCCTCCTCCCCACCCTCATTAATTATGAATCTCCTAACCTGACCCTACACATGTACCATTTAACCGCAACAATAAGCATAAGGGCGTGTTCCTACACCCCGTATCAGACACACCTCGTATCAGCTTCGCATGGTTAAATATGTTTCAGTGTGTTCGATTGCGCTTGGATGCGTTCTAGTGCGGTTCGACGCGAATCAGATATGAGGTTGCTGGACAAGAGGCTGTAGGAACACGCCCTAACAGCAGAGAATAGGTGTTGCGTCAGTCAGCAATGGCGCCATCCATTGCACAATACACGCACGGTTGCTCCACCTGCATGCGACATAGTTAGTCGATTTTTGAGTCGACTAAAAAATCGACTCAATACACGCACGGCTGCTCCACCTGCATGCGACATACCCAGATTCTTCAACCCCTTTTTTTTCCCCGTTCGCAATGCGCACCAGCTGGCGCACACCCATTGCCGCGCGATCAAATTCTTGCTGCCCAGAAAAAATGCTCTGGGCCAGCCCAGGCCTCTGAGGGATACAAGCGGTACCAGAAGATGCTGCCTCGGGACGGCTGCACGTTGCTTGAGTTACCGGTAACCACCTACTGTCTTGAGGTGCGTCAAACGCGGTACCAGAAGATGCTGCCCCGGGACGGCTGCACGTTGTGGGAGTTACCTGGTAACCAGCAACTGTCAGTGGTGCCGCTCTTCACGCTGTTTCTTGGTTGAAAGACGCTGAGTCTGAGGGAGGTGTGTTGTTGCAGCACGCATTGGTATCGAAACGACCTACAGATGAAGGTGGTCGGTGGAGGGAAGGGTGAGGTATGGAGGGCATGGAAGGGGAAGGGGGTAAAGGGAGAAGAAGAGGGGTTGGAGAATGGAACGGAAGGGGAGAGAGATGAGTACAGGATGCAGAATGGTGAGGGGGGTATGATGTGGATGATGCCACATAGCAGCATGATTTGGATGATGCCACATAGCAGCATGAGGTGGATGATGCCACATAGCAGCATGATGTGGATGATGCCACATAGCAGCATGATGTGGATGATGCCACATAGCAGCATGATGTGGATGATGCCACATAGCAGCATGATGTGGATGATGCCACATAGCAGCATGATGTGGATGATGCCACGTAGCAGCATGATGTGGATGATGCCACATAGCAGCATGATGTGGATGATGCCACATAGCAGCATGATGTGGATGATGCCACATAGCAGCATGATGTGGATGATGCCACATAGCAGCATGATGTGGATGATGCCACATAGCAGCATGATGTGGATGATGCCACATAGCAGCATGAGGTGGATGATGCCACATAGCAGCATGATGTGGATGATGCCACACAGCAGCATGATGTGGATGATGCCACATAGCAGCATGATGTGGATGATGCCACATAGCAGCATGATGTGGATGATGCCACATAGCAGCATGAGGTGGATGATGCCACATAGCAGCATGATGTGGATGATGCCACACAGCAGCATGATGTGGATGATGCCACACAGCAGCATGATGTGGATGATGCCACACAGCAGCATGATGTGGATGATGCCACACAGCAGCATGATGTGGATGATGCCACACAGCAGCATGATGTGGATGATGCCACACAGCAGCATGATGTGGATGATGCCACACAGCAGCATGATGTGGATGATGCCACACAGCAGCATGATGTGGATGATGCCACACAGCAGCATGATGTGGATGATGCCACACAGCAGCATGATGTGGATGATGCCACAAAGCAGCATGATGTGGATGATGCCACACAGCAGCATGATGTGGATGATGCCACACAGCAGCATGATGTGGATGATGCCACACAGCAGCATGATGTGGATGATGCCACACAGCAGCATGATGTGGATGATGCCACACAGCAGCATGATGTGGATGATGCCACACAGCAGCATGATGTGGATGATGCCACACAGCAGCATGATGTGGATGATGCCACACAGCAGCATGATGTGGATGATGCCACACAGCAGCATGATGTGGATGATGCCACACAGCAGCATGATGTGGATGATGCCACATAGCAGCAGAACGCCCTGGATCAGAGGTGGGTCGTCGTCACTGCAGGCATCGGTATCGAAAAGAACCGCAGGTGAAGAGCGGGGAAGGGAGGGGGAGGGAACTTGAAATGTTTCTATTGAGATGTTTAGGAAGTGGGTTAGCAGGGGCGTACGGATTGGGATAGGAAGGGCCATCGGTCCAGCACTGGTTCTGAACAGACCTGCACGTGAAGCGGTGTGAAGAGGGGTGGGCGGATGGGGGGATGGGGAAGCTGTTGGTTGAAGTAAAGGGGTGACAATTGGGATAGGAAGGGCCATGGCAGCGTCACTGGTTCTGAACAGACCTGCAAGTGAAGCGGTGTGAAGGGGGTTGGGGGGATGGGGAAGCAGTTGGTTGAAGTATGGGGGTGAGAATTGGGATAGGAAGGGCCATGGCAGCATCACTGGTTCTGAATAGACCCACATATAGGTAGGTTAGCTGCTAGCAGGGGGAAGGGGATTGAAAAGAGGAGGAGGGGAATGGGAAGGGGGATGCGGAGGAAGGAAAGGAGCGGGACAAATTGTTAGATGGTTGGTTATAATTGAAACAGGGGGATAGTGAAAAGGGGATGCATCAGGTGAAAGCGGACATGGTGCAGGTGGGTGAGGCGTTAAGCAACAGGGGTTACAGAATATAACTCACCAACAGTGTGTCTGTGTGTGCCCAGTGAAAGCAGCCTCCAGGAGTATATAAGTCTTGCCGAGCGGAAATGTTCAGGCTCGGGGTAACTTCCATGGGACAGAAAGAGCAGCAGCAACCAGCTGAGGCAATAGCCCAGGTTTTGCTCCTTGGGCTGGGCATATCCATTTATCACGCCACACACTCCCTCTGCTTCTCTGCTAGCTGCAACGCCTCCCATCGCGAGAATACAAAGCCTGCACGTGGGCTTCGGCCTGCACGTAGACGACGCACCACAGCCGAAGCAAACGCCTGCACTTGCTTCCCGCCTTCAGCAAGCCTGGCAAGTGCCGTCTTGTGGATCTTCTTCCCGACGAAGAGCATGAAGCAGTCGGAGCTGGAGTCTCCAGGAGAGGTGGTGGTTGGAGTCGAATTCGAACCTGAGCTGGTTGCGGTGGAGACGGCGGAGATTTTTGAGTCGACTCAAAACGAGGTGACTTTTGAGTCGACTCAAAAGTGACTTTTGAGTCGACTATGTGACTTTTGAGTTGACTAAAAAGTCTTCCCGACGAAGAGCATGAAGCAGTCGGAGCTGGACTGGAGTCTCCAGGAGAGGTGGTTGGAGTCGAAATCGAAACTGAGCTGGTTGCGGTGGAGACGGCGGAGGGGACAGCAGGAGACTGTTGTCAGAGACAGCTGCGGCCCCCATCGGCCTGTATCTAATGTTTTAAAGACTGTAACTAATATTACAGGGAAAGTAGATACAAAACATGAAATTACATGTTTGTTGTGTGAAGACCCAATGTGTTCTAATAGAAAACCTGACGCTTAGAGATTCTCGGATGCTTCTCGGAAGGCGTGGGAGTGGTCTGTTGGGAGAGAAGGGCACATGGAGGGAGGGAGGCAGGGACAGAGAGAGAACAGAGAGCGGCGCTGGGTGGGAGGAGAAGGAAAAGCGGCGGTAGTTGTTTGTTGAAAATGAGATTTGAGTCGACTCAAAAATCAAGAGGACACAGAAGGAGGGAGGCAGGGACAGAGAGAGAACAGAGAGCGGCGCTGAGTGGGAAGAGAAGGAGAAACGGCGGTAGCTGTTTGTTGACAATGACATGACATGATATGACATGGCGCAAAGGATCACTGTGTAGAGGGCGATGGGGAAGGCGGGGGGAGATACTTTTAAGCTGGCAAATAAGTTACCTGGTCTCATAAGTCGACTCAGCAGATTAAAAAATCACCTGGACAGGTTCAAATGGATGTTGCCCAACCCCCCCCCCCCCCCCCCCCCCCCTCCCCCTCCCCCCCCCTCCTCCCTCCACCACCCACCCCAACCCCACCCCACCCCCCCTCCTTACCCCCCCCCCCCCCCCCCCCACCCCCCCTCCTTCCCCCCCCCTCCCCCCCCCCCCCCTCGAAAAAAAATCACCCCCCAGCCCCCGTTCCCCCCTCTCTCCCCTCCTCGCTTCCCCCCCACCCCCCCATAAAAGGAATGTTAGGTCAAAATTGCAAGATTTGTATCGTGAGGGTTTGGACGCATGTTCACTCACTCACGTCCAGTGAGGTTAAGCGACACATCAAATACGTGCCTCAAAATGCTTGGAGTCGTTTTTGTCAGCTTCAAATGCTGGCAAAGCTGACTCCAAGCATCACATTCCGGTTCGGTTCAAGGTACGGCGGAGGTGGCGCGGGGAGGCCCGGCCCACCTACTCCGCCGCACGGGAGGGAGCAGCAGGTGGGGAAGCAAACGGCAGGTGTTTCAGAGTAGCGCGGAGATATCAGAATTGCCATGATCATGGGTTCTCACAGGCCCATCCACTCCGCTGCATGGGAGCAGCAGGTGGGGAAGCGAAACGGCAGGTGTTTTCAGAGTAGCGCGAAGATATCAGAATTGCCATGATCATGGGTTCTCACAGGCCCATCCACTCCGCTGCACGGGAGCAGCAGGTGGGGAAGCGAAACGGCAGGTGTTTTCAGAGTAGCGCGAAGATATCTGAAGCGCTTTCATCCTGGGTTCTCACAGCCCTATCCACTAGGCTGTAGGGGAGCAGCAGGTGGGGAAGCAAAACGGCGGGTGTTCTCAGAGGAGAACGGGAAAAGCAATGATCTAACTCGGGAAACTCTTGTACGTGGGTACTGCAAAGGTACCGCCAAAACTGCGAACCTAAACACACACACATAGGCGGAGCACCGTCAAACGAGATTAGCAGAATTAAACACTTGCTGGCATTAGCAGTACAGTAGCAGAATTTCTGAAGATAGTAATTTCGAACGGCACTAATCGCTCACCTGAGAAGACGATGGTAATCTTGCCGTCGCGCACGCGACCCGAGGGATGTATTTCGTTCCATACGGCGGGATGTTGAGCGTAAGCGAGGACATCCCGTTATTGTTGTTTCCTAGAAGACTCTCGAGTCGACTTAAAAGTCAGCAGTTACATCCCGTAGTAGCTATTGTTTCCCACATCCAGATGCGAATCGCTCAACACGAATATCGCCTCGATTGGCTCGGGACATAGGAGTAAACTATCCACGGGCGCCGCGACCTTTTGCGGGGCAGGCGATTTTTCGAGGAGGAGCGTGGCGAGGAAGAGGAGACAAGGTGAGGCGGAACATCGCTGGTGCGACATTATCCAGGTTGCCCCACGCCGCTAAAGCCCGGGTTCCGAACGTTTGGGGCGCAGTGCGGACGCCGAAATAAACAGATGTCGGGTAACAGATGTCGCTAAGGTTTTCGTGAAAGCTGATCAACCTTCGCTTCCTGAATGACAGGCTTGTAACACTACCCACCCTTCGAACCAAGCCCCAGTGCCCACCAGGTTCCGGGTGGACACTCATTACTGGCGGACGGAGTAGGCGAACGAAATGGCCCGCAACTTCACCACATTTCTTCAACTCGAGCCCTTTCGCGTAGGCTTTTCTAAGGGATTCGGGTTTCGGGTTTAGCACATTTTGCCACCTGGGGATCTCACCTAAACGGCTGTCAAAATGTGTGTGAGATCACAAGGTGGCAATTCGCAAAAATTGCGAACTCAGTTTCCACAGGTTGCAGAGTTCACTTTGCGTTTTCGCGAACCGGCAAACGAAGCCCTTCGTCAAACCAGATTCGGGTCCAGAGGAGGGTCCGGTTCGGTCGGGTCCGGACGTGCGAAGCTGCGTACCACCAAGTGCTGCGTAAGGAACTCTGGAATTTTCTAGGAGTTTGTTGATAATCTTCGCGCGGGACTGAGCCCTGATAATGACGCTGACCCTTGTCTCTCCTTGCGACCAGCGGAACGTGGTTTGTCTAGCTGTTTGTAAAAGCAGGCGCTCGCTAGTAGAGAACTTAGTGAATGCGGTAGTGCTCGTAAGGTGCTGAGAGCATTGTCAAAGCTCGAAATCTCGTTATCTTAGGCTACCGTATTTGGTTAAAATCGTCCCTTTCGGTGGTGATACTGAGACTCGTTCTCATCCAGTCACTCTTAGAGTCGTCTTCTCGCCGATCCTTCGTGTTCGTCGGCGTTCGCGAGGGATCTCGCAGCATGGCAAACCAAACGGTTACGAGAAACACAGCTGCAGTAACAATCACGGAGCAAACAGGTAACCACTTTTGAGACGTCGCAAAGCTCGCAGCATGGCTAGCCAAACGGCTAGTATAACTCGCAACGCAGCGGTAATAGTAACGGAGCGAACAGGTAACAAATCCTGAGCAGTCTTAGGGGGAACGAAGGTGCCTGCAGTCATGGTAAAAGAGCCTTCTCAGGCAGCTATTACCCTGTGAGCTCTCCCCATTGCCCCCTGCTTGTACCTTCGCGAAACCCGCGTCTCGAGTCTCTGAACAATGCTCCCGTGATTCCAGATTTTCCCCTCTTTGCCATTCCCGTTAGCCGCCTACCTTTCCCTGACACTTGTAACAAAAGCCAACTGCTAGGGTCTAAAAATTCCTGGACTGTATATCCTTTTCTGAGACCCTGTGCTTGCAACTTTATCATAACGGCGTCGAACCCCAAATTTGCTTCACCTGCCCTCATGCGTTCAGCTTTTGTGCTCGTCTCTCTTTGCTCATCTCGCTTTGTTACTGCCTTTCATGATGGTATCCTGACCGCACGTCCGATCCTCACCGTCCACATCAACTGTGTGCATGATCCAGTGGTGGCGATCCAATTGCCACAACAGTTCCAACCGCAATTCAAAACTGGGCCGTCCAACCTGATCTCTCCCCTTGCATTTGTTGTTCGTTCAATCTGGACCGTCCAAGCAGCCGTGGTGGATCAAGTGGTGATCCGATTGGCTCCGCGGCGGAGAGTGCAGTGGACGGAGGGAACGGTGGATAATGAGCATCTGAACAAGAATAAGTCAAAGAGTGAGTGTGTCTCTACTCAGGCACCGTATGCATCCGTGCATCATGTGGTTTGAGTCGACTCAAACGTCGCAGGGGAGAGTGCAGTGGAGGGAGGGAATAGTGTAAAACGAGCATCTGAACAAAAGAGGGTCAAAGAGTGAGTGTCTGTCTTTTTGTGCAGCATATGCGTGTGTGAGGTGCCTTATGAGGCGGTCTAGCTTGCTCCTTTCTTTCCGATTGGGACTCTCTTCCTCTGCCTACACCTGTTCTGCTCCTTCCCCACGTCCCCACGTCCCCATATAGAGCGCCTCGTTTTCCGTAAGCTATAGGCTGTTGTTGAGAGCTC